ATTAATAATAATAAAACTAATTTAATTAGTTACTAGAGTAAAGAGAAATGCTAGCCTAAGAAATATTTTAACTAAGATAATTAGACTAAAAAAGATCTCGAAATATATAACGGAATATTCTAGGTAATAAAAATAGAATTAAATTACTTATTTATAAGAAGGAAGTTATTATCTTCTTTTTATAATAAATAATCGGAAGCTGGCTCTATTATATCTAGCTCTATAATACCTAGTAATTAAAAGCTAAGAAAAGCAAAAAGTGCATTTTATATATATCCGAGCTATATAATTATTCTTATAACCAAGAGTAGCTTTATAAATAAGTCTAACTTGGGTATTATAAATATAAATAAGAACTTCTACTAAATTTTATTAGAGAAAGAGCAGATAGTTCCTTAAAGCTTCTTATTTTATAATAATATATTTAAGAAAGCTTACTAAAAAATATAAAACAGAAATAAGGTAAGAGTAGTTTAAGATATTACTTAATTAATTATTCTTTCTATAGAAACCCTAGCTATATATAGTACTATATATCTTAATTCTTTAATTAAAAATATTAATAAAGGCTAGAATAGTACCAAATCTTTTTATAGTTCTTGCCTATAATCTAATTATTCTATAGGTTTCAGATAATCTATATTTATAAATAATTAGCTAGAAAAGCTTTAGCCTTTTATTAGCGAGCTTCCAGATACTTTTATATCTTATTTTATAGCTATCTGGCAGATATACTTCCTATTTCTAACCTATAAGATTAAGTATAATATTATAGTATTTAATATTATAGACTAATAGAATACTTATAGTATAATTCTGGTAATAAGAGGTATTATTAAACTATTTAGACTTATAAAGCATGAAAATAAGCTTTATTGGGAAATACTTGCCTTTTTAATCTCGTATAATTACCGGATAGTAAGAATCTATAGCTATTATTCTATAATTAATAGAAAAAAGACTATTTTCTATTACTATCTAATCTATAAGTTTAGATTTATAGTATTAGATAGTAAAGAGAAATAGATAGTATATAAATTTACTAAGAATATTTATAATATATAAATACCGACTTACCTAAAAAAAGTCTATTTAGTTATTAATATATTGCCTAATTTTGAGGTCTTATAGTAATTTGAGCCAGAAGAATCCGGACTTTTATAGGTATTAGAAAGCTATAATCTCTTAGAGCCTTTAAATTAGGATGCCTTATCTTTACTAGAGAAAGCTAATAGTTAATTAAGTTATATTAAAGAAATTACTCCGGAGACTTCTATATTCTAGAGAATTAAGGGAAAAGTATTTAAAAAGTCAAAAAAAAGAAATTGGCCTGAATTATATTAGCGAATAGTCTTACTAGTTACAAATTAGTATTTAAGGTATATTATTTGCTATAGAGTATTTTGGAAAGCTATATAATATAATAAACCTATTAAAGCAAATAACTATATAAGTTATTAAATAATTCACTAGTTAATATTATAATACTTATAGTATAAGAAATATCTATTAGCCTTAGTAATTACAAGTCTTTAAATCTGCTTCTAAGTTTCTTTTATAATATTCTACCTAATATATCTTCCTCTAATCTTATACTATTCTCTATTTAAAGCCGCTTCTCGTCTATATCTACCTATATTTGAGTTTTGAAGTTATATTATAAACCCATTTATTAAACTCCTTTATACTAGCTAGTTCAGATCTGAGCCTCTATATATAACTTGTTAGTAGCCTTAAGTAATGCCTGAAACCCCACTACTTTTAAAAATGCTTAAAGTATATCTGATTATTAACCTTAACTATAAATTATTAGTTTCAATAATATTATAGCATAATATAAGCTAAAAGTGTTATAACTTATAATAAGTACTAATATATCTCTTTCTATTCTATATTACCTCCTTATACCGGTATATACTTTCTGGTATATAGTATAATCCGAGGAAGCCCTAAACTAAGCTCTTATATATCTACTCTTTCCTCTGCTACTTCTTTACTAATCAAGCTAGTTAGAAGAGCTTAGCGCTTCTATATACTTCTTTATAGGCAGATTCTATTCCTATAGACTAACCCAATCCCTTTTACTAGGGCATAAGCTGAGTACTACTATAGCCCCTCCTCCGGGATACCTTCTAGTTTGGGCAGATTATTATTATGCTCAGAAGAGTCGAGCTAAGCGCCGGTATAATCTAGTGCCTTAATCTGCCTTAAGCCTGCCTTTTACGGACTGACTAGCTGGCCTAGAGGAATTAACTAGGCTAGCAGAATGCTTAGGGGTATATTAGTAACTGGCGTTTGCTGCTGGTATTACCGGGTGGTTAAGAGGGTCCGTCTCTATAAGGAGCTAAAAGTTTTATATAGATAAGACAAGGCAGAACCACTTTAGTAGCAAAATTACGTTAATCGAGTGGGCTTAGAATAGCTAGTATACCTACTAACTATAGTTAAGTTTAGATAGCAGCGATATTATATTAAAGAAGGGATTGTACTAAGGCTAAGACTACCCCTTACTTAATACGAAGAGAAAGGGAAGTTGAGTATGGACAGAGCCCTACTCTCTGGAATATTCTAAACCTTTATATAAACGAGATCGGCCACAGAAATCATACTAGTAACCCCGCACTCCCTTTATCAGTGAACTATGCCGCTAGTGTGATTCTGCCTTGCTCTCCCAGTGCTACTAGCCCTTGGTATAACCCCTTCTGGATGCAGTATTACCGTTGCATGAATCTCCACCTCTGTTTGACCCCGACTCAGCTGATCCTACGCTCTTGCTAGTGAACTGTGCCGCTAATATGGTTCTGTATTGTCAGGATTTATATGAATCTTCTAGTGCTATTGGCCCCTCGTATAACTTCTTCGCGGTATTGCCGTTATATGAATCTCTACCTCTATTTGACCTATACCCAGCTGATCCTGTACCCCTTTATTACTAAACTGTGCCGCTAGTGTGATTCTGCCTTACCAGGATTTACACTAATCTTCTAGTACCACTGGCCCTTGGTGTGACTCCTAGGATACAGTATTAATTCTATATAAATCTCTATCTCTGCCTGACGTCTGCCAGCTGACCCTCCCCCTCCCCCCTTTATTAGTGAAGCTCCGATACTAATATAATCCTGGACCGTTAGGATTTATATAAATCTTCCAGTGCTACTGGATACTGGTGCGACTACTCCCTGATACGGCATTACTGCTACGTAATGTCACTATTAGTAGGCTTGGCCACTGGCGATCTCCCCTTTCGCAGTCCCGCTAATACGATTGTCCCTTATATGGCATGTATGATCCCTCTCCCGAGCTTTAGTATAACCCTTTGGTAAGGCAATCTCGTAGCTGCATGAATCTCATAACGATTAACTGGCGAACTTGTCATCCTTATTCCAATTATCCGCTATATAAGCCCTTTCCCGAAGTAATGTCATATATATATGAATAGTACAGGAATCAAACTCGCCGTCGGAGCACCTTGGCCCTTTGCCCTCTATAAGCAGAACAAAAACTAGGAGAAAAAGAAAGAGAAAGGAGACAGGAAAGTATAGTATTAAAATATATAAAAGTAAAGAGGAGAAAATTGAATGCTACCGAAATTTGTATTATATAAAATCGCCCCCGTAAATATTAATGAGACGTTATGGAATAATGAGGCTAATATATTTATTACGTATATATAAGCAGTGTGTCAAATGATTTAGTTTGATTTGATTATAGCCTCTGAATCAAATCAAATTAAGTCAAAATCTACTTAATCAAATCATAATCAACTATAATTAACTATAGTTAATTATAATTAATTATTTAGTCACGTGAGCGTGCACGTGCGCTCGGAGGTTCGAAAGCGAGATAAGGCTAAAATAAGTCTTAGGCTAGTCCGTATCCGGTATCACTTAAGGCGCTCCTTACTAAATCGGGTATCGCGCTGCTTGGTAAGCGAAGCGGCGCGAGCCGAAGGCGCTAAAACCTCCTCGATTTTCTAGTAATTCTTCGCCACCTTATAAATCTTATTATTATAAATAAATTAGCTAAAAATAGGCTCTCTTACAAATAGACGCTTTAAAATTAGAGGGTTATATCTAATTAGAGGCTTATTAAATAATCTTCTAGATTCTAGAGGATTTATATATAAATAAGTAATTTTCCTCAGGTTACTTCCTTCTCCCCTTATTTTATATATAAATATCTCAATAATTATAGCTCTAATTAAGAAGCTTTCGACTATAAACTTACTTATTTTTACTCGATATATTCGAAAATATCTCAATAATCTTTAATTAATTTTAATATCCCTCAAAATAGGGAGAAATAAAAAAGATAAAGAAGAGGTTTCTAAGAAAGATATCTAGTTTTTTATGCCCGATTTAGACTAGCTTTATACTCTTATATATATTCTATAAGTTTTGTTCATATCTTATTAATATAGCCGTTAGTTATTTAATAATCTTTTAAGTTACTTGAGAAATTCAAGTTTTCTTATCACGTGATGATTATAGTTGATTATAATTAATTATAATTATAATCAAATCAAATCAAGTCAAAATTTGCTGAATCAAATCATAATCAACTATAATTAACTATAGTTAATTATAATTAATTAGCCTTGATTTTTTTTTTGATACACTGTATATAAGCGAATGTGGATCTAAAAATGGCTCGGGGGAATCTCGGTTGCAAGGGAGCCAAAATGGGATCTGTACTTGGAGACAAAATGAGGAAAGTATAACCGAGTATTAAGGGAGCCGGAACAAGTCCCTGTGGGAGCTAAAATGGCCCCTCAGCGCATGCTCAGGCTGACTCTGCCGTATGCTCAGGTTGCTCAGGCCGAGCTCAGGCCGAGCTCAGGACGTGCTCAGGCATGCTCAGGAATGCTCACCCTCGGCTCAGGTTAAGGCGGCAGCTGCTCACGTCCAAACACTAAAACAGAATCAGCGAAAAAAAAAGTTGAGTATGACTTTAGTGGTAGTCCTTTGTACCTTGCCGCATACAACTACCATCCCGAAGCAGTGAAACTCCTCGTCTCGCGTGGTGCGAACCCAGAAATTACATGCCAAGAACAAAGCCTTTGGGACGACGGCTACACTCCCCTTCAAGCGATAGCAGTATTAGGGTATGCCGAGATTATGCGGGATCTCCTCGAGGGTGGTGCCAATACGAAGTCAAAGACTCCAAAGGGCTCAACGCCATTGATGCTAGCCGTCAGTAATGAAAAGGAGGAATGTGTGAAAGCACTACTAGAATACGATCCGGACCTAGAAGCTGTCAACGAGTCCAAAGACACAGCTCTTCATACCTCTACTGCAACCACACAATTATCTATCATCAAGTTGTTAGTCAACCGCGGCGCGAACATAGAGCATCGCGGCCGGGGCAATTATACGTTCCTAGGCCAGGCAGTCACTAGGAAAAGGCTTGATATTGCCACGTATCTCCTCGAGAAAAAAGCCAATATTAACGTAGTAGGTGGCTACCGTGCCGGTCCTATTCACGTTGCAGCTGCCTCGGGGCAACTCGAGATCCTCAAATTGCTCGTGTCGAAGGGAGGCGATGTCAACCTCGCCGACCCGAACATCAGCGGCACGCCTCTCCAAGCAACCCTCTATCCTGACGCCGGTGAAGTTTATAGTGATACCGCAAGAGATACCATCCTCCACTATCTAATAGATGAAGCAGGTGCAGATGTCAACGCGCACGCGGGCTATTTTGGGTCTGCGCTCAATGTCGCAAGTCTAGGAATGGAAGATAAATCTGTCGAGCACATGCAGCTGCTCCTCGACAAAGGCGCAGACATCAACTACACAGATGCCTTCGGACGACGAGCAATCCACTACGCGTCGTTCAAAACACTCCCGCAAGTTCGCCTGCTCCTCGACGCTGGAGCAGATGTCACAGCCAAGACCAAAATCGGACAGTCGCCTCTCCACATCGCGGTAGCGAGCAACCACCTCGATGTCGTAGAACTCATCCTCTCTAAGACCAAACATCTCATCAACGAGCCAGACATCGATGGATGGACGCCCCTCATGTGGGCGTGCCGGCCAGCCGATAAATGGGGTGCGGCATCTAGCATTGATATAGCGGTCATCAAGCTACTCTTGTCCCAGGGTGCAGATACTTGGGCCAGAGGGAAGAGCGAGGACAGGGAGTGGAGTCCGTTGAAACTGGCACGGTATCATGGGGCGAGTGCGGAGGTTGTGAGGTTGTTGACACCGAAGGGGAAGAAGAGGAGTACGAGTTCGAAGAGTACTGCTTCCCCTTCGCCGAGCAAAGATGGAGCGTGGGATGCGAAATTCCATACCTCGATGAGGGCGAATCGAACGCCGGGGTACTGTGATGTGTGTTTGTTTGTAAGTCTTCTATCCCCTTCCTTTTCTATTACACGGATGAGGGAGAGGCTGATGGGTTTCTTAGGGTATCTATGGCACAGTCACAGCTTGCACAGAGTGCCTGGACGCTTTTTACATCTGCTTCAAGTGCTGTAGCCGGAAAACAGAGTTCCACCCTCAGCATGACAAGTGGGAGGTCAGGGGTACGGAATACATGGTTGATGAAGAGCAAGAGGTGGAAAGTGGGAATACAAGTAAGCATAATGAGGGGGGATTAGTGGAACAGGTAGAGGATGATGATGAGGAGGGGGATTGGAGTAACGATGACGCGTAGAGGGCTGAGACGGTGTTGGGGTTGGGGTTGGAAGGAGAATTGAGGTGTTGTAAAGTACCCTTGGCATGGAGAGCAATAAGAACTTTTCAATGTCCCAAAATCTTCAGGGGGGGGATGAGGAGATTAGCTAAAGTATATCTTGCTTGCCCTTCTTCGCTGGCATGGCAGGCTAAATGTCCGATATTCAGCTGCAGTCGTCCATTCCATTTTTGGTTATTATGTTGTCACAGCAGGTTGGCCAACCAAAACGTCAACGCATGAACTATCCACAGCAGGTCGAGAAGATTCCGGAACCCTTTCTAACTCAACTACTTCTTGACTATGGTGCGCATCATGCTAGGGGAGCCAAGCGCGAATAGCTGGCGCGATCCGGAGAGGGCTTGCATTCTTAATAGCCGCAGTCCAGGCATTCACACCAAAAGCCTTGTGAGGTTTGGACTAGGAATTCGGACGGCAGGGTTTTTTGGTTGTTTGTCTCAGCCATCTTGTAGTCTTGTCTTGCCTCCGTGGGTTGTAGGTTGTGTATTGTGATTTTTACTTTGAGGAGATAGTCGGTGGAGTGTTCGAGTCCGGAATTTGGGTTGTTTTGGAGAAGGTTTTGTAAGGGAGAAGGGGAAGGAAGGACAGGGGGGGATTGATCATTGATCCTTGATACGGCCGTCTTCTGTTCTTATGGGTTCTACTAGTATGAGAGGGTTTTCACATGGAATCTAGCAGGCTCATTCATGCAAAAAAGGCTAATTCAATATGTTCTTTGCAATCATTTACGAGACAGGATAAGATAGTAATATCAGACATATTGTTATTATGGTAAGTTAGGTTGGCAAACCAAATCTCACAGAATCATCCACTGCTGGTAGATGATTCCTCAATTCTCCCCGCCCTTTCTAGTCTATTATCAAACAGTAGGTTGGCCAATGAACCTCAACTTCAACGCATAGAATCATCCACAATAGTCAGATGATTCTGGAACTATCCAACTATCGTACCTCCAGATGATCAGTCACCAACCATCACGAACCATGATATCGCAACAAACACTACAGTCAGGAGAATACGGACTGCTCGTGCATGTTCTGTTATAGCAAGTCGAGCATTTGTACCAATAGCCCCCAGAGAGGCCAGAGGCTGAGACAGGGAAGTCGGCCAGACTTTTTTCGTTTATCTCAACCATTCTCTCGTCTTTCTTTCGAATGTGTGTCGCGTCTTGGTATCTTGGATGTGGTGGCATGTCGTGTGCTGTTAGTTGTTGTATTGCAGTGTGGAAGTTGCTTGGTTCTAGTCCAGCTCTTGGAGTTTTTTTTTAATAGAGGACGGGAAGGAGTTTGGGGGGAAATCCCCCCCCCAGATATAGACTTCCCTTCTTGCGGACTATTCTAGAATGAAAATAGGGGTTTCTGTACATTCGCATAGCTTCAAAACTCGCGTTGATTACGGTGGAGAATAATTTGATGGATTCCTTCGCTGTAGTTGATTCACGGTGGGTCTGCTCTTACTCCTTGTGATTTGGGCTTCGCTATTGCTATGTCTGCTAGGAATAAGTTTAATATCAGACCATTCGAAATTGAGAGATCATTCAGCTAGTGATTTGGTTAATAGGTGAGTTGATTGCGAGGAGAATAAAATGGATTCCTTGTATTTGATTCACGTCCGGGAAGGAGTTTCGCCTTGTGAATCCTGCCTCGATACTGGGACGTATGCTAGACTAAATCAAAACACAGATATTGCAGTGGCCCACAGTCTGGTGATATGACAGCTTGTGAGGCCGACCTCGTTGTTTTAAGAGTGACTTTCCACCTCATTGCAAACAACATCGTTTAACAGGCTTCGGTTCGGTAGTCGCTAAAATTTAAGGGGTGTTTAGCGTTGTTTTAGCGCCACCCCCCTTGGAACTCGCGCGAACTCCAATCTCCGTTTCCTTCTCACAACCACCAAAATTGCTCGGATTTTCACATCACCAGGATACCAACAGTCTATTGCAAGTCGTAACTACATGTATGAAATTATTTCCTCAGTGGAGAAGAACTCGATTCTCTTCCCAGATTTGGCGGTGTGCCCATTGTCCCGTGGCTGCAGGGGCCGCAGGTGGCTTTTTTGGTTCGTTTCAACCACCACCGCATTCTTCAGTTGACCACAGGATGCTTCCCCTCTCATCTCTCACTTCATCGATCCTGGGACACAGTGTAATTCCTTTTGCTTGTGACTGAGGTGAGCACAATCTAATGGCGAGGCTTTCATTGAGAAGCCTTGGGCTGAATATCGGCGTCGTAGCCTGAAAACACAGCCTCCACCTTGCGAAACCCAAGAACGCCATTCGTCCAAATTCAAAATTACATATTGCAAAGGCCACAGCCTGCTATCATTCGATATCTACTGTGAGTACAGGCCCGTTGAGCTTAGACTTTCGTTTTGCTTCGGCCAATACTTTTTCAATACCGCCCCGACAAGATCTAGAGTGCTAATGGCATCTTCAGCGCCTCTCGCCACCATGGATCCGCTCAGCGCCATTGGCCTGGCATCGTCCATCGTTCAATTTATCACTTTCGGGCTCACAGTCGCCAAGCGCCTGGATGAGCTCAGCTCCATCAATCCAGGCGAAGTCCCCAAATCCCTGCAAGCGATTTCCTCCCAGCTGCCACTGCTACTCAATGCCCTAAGCAGGATCAAATCCGATTCTCAGCTCAAGAACCTTGACTTCGACACCAAATGCATTCTTCGGGGCATGATTTCCGGTTGCCAGTCTCAGATTGTGGAGGTTGAGAACATGATCAATGTAATCTCTAACGCTCCAGGAGACAACTTCAAGACCAAGATCAAGAAGGTGTTCACGAGTTTCAAGTATGATGACAAAGTCCGGGAAATCGAAAGGAATCTGCAAACTTATATTTCAGTCTTGATTCTGCACCACGTGATTGACTCTGCGGATGCACCCCTCGAATTGGCCGATGATACGTTCTTCGACGTGCGTGAGGAACGAGTTGAGACTTTCGTCGAACGTCCGAGTCTGATGAAAGAACTAGAAGTCTGTCTCCATGATGCTGCGAGGTCTCAGGTTCAGACTCCGACCATTCTCTTGATATCTGGAGACAGAGGAGTTGGCAAATCTCAGCTTGCTCTTGAGTATTGCCACCGGGCGCACTCACTGAAACAATTCCGTACGGTTTTCTGGCTCGACGCATCGACTCTGGAGAATTTGTGTCTAGGGTTTGAAAGCATCTATGCCACGGTCAGGCGATCAACGGACGGATCGAGGAAAGAAAAGATCAGTTTCGTGACTGGCTTTCTCTGCGACTTATGGCATCCATGGCTTCTAGTCCTCGACAACTATAAACCGTCTGCTCTTTACAACGACATCATGGAGTTATTACCAAGCCGAGGATATGGCGGGATCATACTCATTACCCGTGACGACGCAAAGAGCGGGCTTGGCAAAGTCATTGAAGTCTCCAAGTTCGTGCCACCCGAAGAGCAAATCCAGCTCAACTCATTGCTAGCACAAGAAGTCCAACGCAAGGATTTCGAAGGAATGAAAAACTTGGTGAACCAAGGAGCCGACGTCAATACCCTGATCTGGAATGAGTGGCCATGTCTCCATCGACTTGCGCTCTTTGGCCTCGAAGGCGCTTTCGCATTTTTCCTCGAAAGAGGTGCAGATCCAAACCCTCCTACTGTCAAAATCAGGAAGCCCATATACTGGGCAGCGGGTGAAGGGAATGAATCAATATGTAGTATGCTCTTAGACAATGAAGACGAATGCGGACTCTTTTTGAAGCCCGCAGACTATCAAGCTGCATTCAGCCAAGCAATAGAGAAGGGCAGTCTCGGTATTGTGAAGATGCTCTGGGATCGACGAGAGGTGATTTTGAATGGAAAGAATCAGTACGATTACACGCCCCTACAGAGCGCTGCCAACAAAGGGCACACGGAAATCGTCAAATTCCTCATAGATCAAGGCGCTCTCATCGAAGATCACGAGCAGGGAGACCAAGCACTCATCCACGCAGCTTCCGAAGGCCATTTCGAATTCATGAAACTCCTTATCTTAGAAGGGAAGGTAGATCCAAATGCAACATATGGATCAGACAAGAGAACAGCTCTCTACTGCATCGCCGGCCTAAAAGATAAAGATGGGCGAGAATCGCAGAGGGAAGAAATGGCAAAGTTCCTTTTTTCCAAGGGAGCCGATCCAAATCGATTCGATGTCGAAGGTCCTCTCCATCAGGCAGCTACTTACGATCTCCCGGACATGATTCGTCTTCTGCTAGAGCATGGCGCTGACCCTATGAAAGGCGGGAATAATTACTCGCCGCTAGAGGTAGCTATCAAGTATGAGAGTCCGGAAGCAATTAAATTGTTTTTGCAGTGTAAAATACGTGATCCGGCTGCTTGGGAGAAGTGGTTGGAGAGGGGCTTGTTGTATGCTGCGAGCTCGGGACACAGGGATGCGGTATTGCAGATATTGAAGACTGGTGCGAATATTAATGCGCTTCAGGAGGAGGGGTATGCGAAGGGGGCGACTGCGCTTTTGCTTGCTATTTTCAGTGGGGAGATAAAGACAGCGCAGTTACTCATTCGTCAAGGTCAGTTCCCTGGGTGAAAATTTCGGTTTTCTGTTCTTTTCAGACTGATATCAGTTCTTCATTGGTCCGCAAGACCCGGCCAGAAGCTGACTCGTCCCCCCTTTAGGTGCACGGCAAGACCTCGCCGACAACCTTGGCCGTCTCCCATTACCCACCGCCGTGATATACGGCCACGATCTTCTTGTTCGAGACCTCATCAAAGCTGGCGGAGATCCAAACATGAAGACAGGAGAGAACGAAGATACACCCCTCATAACAGCAGCGGGCAAAGGACATGAGAAGGTCATTAAAGTGCTCCTTGCAAATGGAGCGGATAGGGATCTGACGAATAAGTTTGGGGATACGGCGTTGGATATTGCAGAAGAGAATGGGAAGGAGGAGGTTATTGCCTTGTTGGAGGGATAGAAGAGTGGTGATAAGGAAAAGGTGGTGCGAGATATTGGTGGAGTGCTCTTCGAAATCACGAAAAGTGGCAGACTTGAAGGATGAGTCTTCTTGCACCTGCTTGAAATATATCTATTCAAGGTTTGTATCTTTCCAAGTTCCATAGTCATTCTACGAAATCCTTCGGAACATCCATTAATATATCTCCCTTGACCTCATGCTTGACGATTTGACATGTGTTACTTGAAGCTCAGGGTGTGTTGTTCTCTAAAGCTACTGCTGCCTCAAGAAGCTCTGCCACTTCTTCCCGTCCATGGGATTTTGCGAGTTCAAGCGGGGTTTTGCCGTCGTTGCCCAAGGTATCTTTTCTAGCCTCAAGCTCGAGGAGGCGCAAAATCATAAAACCATAGCCAACTATGGCAGCTTGATGCATCACAGTATAACCGTTCTCTAGACCCCTTGTGTTGACATCTGCTGCTCTTTCGAGGAGAAGCTCTGATACGTCTGGATTGCGATTATGGATCGATTGGTAAATTGGGGCATGTGTCACGTTTTGGACGATTGGGTTTGGGTTGGCGCCGTTGTTTATCAGTAGTGAGACAGTGATCCAGTCACTGTATCGAGACGCTTGAGACAATGCCGATTCTCTAGAGCTGCCGTGTACGTCGGCTCCATGTTCTATGAGAATCTTGTCAATGCTCATTCTGGTCTCAGAAACCATTCCAGAAACCGCGTTAGTGAGTGGTGTTTCGCGAGATAAAATTTCCAGATTCACAAGAGCTCCTTTTCCAAACAGTAGTTGGACCATGTTTCCATGCCCATATTTAGCTGCAGCACGAAGCGGCGTCACCTCATGGCAAGCATTAACGTCGGCTCCTCTTGAAAGAAGAAGTTGTGCAGTCTTGATATCCCCATTCGCGGCAGCAGTAGAGAGAGCCGTTGAACCATCCGAATCAAAAACATCAATCAATGCGCCTCTTTTGAAAAGCACTTTTACCGTGGCAAAGAATAAAAATAGGACTGCCAAATGCAGTGGAGTGCTCTAACATTCACCGGGCTGCGCATTAACGTCTGTTCCAGCATCCATCAGTAGCATTGCAAGCACGGAGATCGCGGTATAATGTATCGGGAATACAGGGAATTGGGGGACTTTTAGACCCTCTAGCGTTCAGATCAAAGTGGTAAGCTCGCTATAAGGCCCCACATGGGCTGCCACACCTTTTTAGGTCTCCTCTCCTGTATTTATAAGGGAGTCGTCGCTAAGGAGGCCTATAATAGTTGCTCGTTTAACGTATAAGCGCTATAACCCAAAGGAAGGAGCTTGAGATTGGGACTTGATTGTGGGGCTGGAGAAGATGGACGGGCTGAAACTTGTGCTGGCACATGATATAGAGTGGTTAAATGAGGAGGGAAACAAGGAGCGGTTCTGGTCCGGGAACATGTGGAGACACATGAATTCCATTCATTCGGATAGGACTAGAATTCACAGTAACAAGCAGTGCGATTAGAAACATCAACATCGTATTGTCTCGTACGAGAAACTACCTACTTGACCACGCTGGTACCATTGATTCTTTTCTCTATATCCACCGCCAGAGCCAACAAAACAGAAGGAAAAACGCTACGAATTTGGATATCCGCGACAAGAACCAGACATGTCCTTCATTTATCAATCAACTTCGCCCACCATGTTGGGTAACTTCGCGACGCTCAGTACTCCTCACCCGCCTCCTCGGGATCAAAACTGTCCGCAGCAACCTCCTCATAATCCTTCTCCAATGCGGCCAAATCCTCCCTCGCCTCGGAAAACTCACCCTCCTCCATACCCTCACCAACATACCAGTGCACGAACGCTCTCTTTGAATACATCAAATCGAACTTATGATCCAGTCTTGACCACGCCTCAGAAATCGCGGTGGTATTGCTCAACATGCTGACGCTGCGGTCGACTGAGGCGAGAGCACCATCGTTGGGAGCAGTGGATGGGACGGACATGGGCTTTTGGTAGTTGATGCCGAGCTTGAAACCGGTGGGGCACCATTCGACGAGGTTGAATGATGTCTTGGCTTTCAGGGAGGCGACGGCCGCGTTGCAATCCCGAGGGACGACATCGCCGCGGTAGAGGAGAGCGACAGCCATGTATTTGCCGTTGCGCGGGTCGCAGACGACCATTTGGTTGTTGGGCTCGAAGCACCTTCACGATATCAGCATGGAAATGGAAAAGGGGGTAGGAAAGGGGGCTTACTGCAGGGTCAAATCTTGAGTCTTGAAGCTCTCATGGCTGCTCTTTGCAGCGGAGATGACGGGTGCATAGCTGATGAGCGGATAGTGGATTCTTGGGTACGGGACCAAGTTCGTCTGAAACTCATTCAAATCGACGTTCAGGGCGCCATCGAAGCGGAGGGAAGAGGTGATCGAGGAGACGACTTGAGCGATCAGGCGGTTCAGGTGCTCGAACGATGGGCGCGGAATGTCAAGGTTGCGGCGGCAGATATCGTAGACGGCCTCGTTGTCCACCAGGAACGTACAGTCCGAGTTTTCGATCGTGGAGTGCGTGCTCAGGACGGCGTTGTAGGGCTCGACGACAGCGGTGGAGACGCGGGGTGCGGGGTAGACGGCGAATTCGAGCTTGGATTTCTTGCCGTAGTCGGTGGAGAGGCGCTCGAGCAGGAGGGAGCCAAAGCCAGAGCCGGTTCCTCCACCGAAGGAGTGGAAAATCAGGAAGCCTTGGAGGGAGGAGCAGTTGTCCTGGAATGATCAGCTTTGCCAGACCGAGGCATCTCATAGCCTTACCAAAACACGGCGGATCTTGTCCAATGTGCCGTCCAAGATCTCTTTGCCAATTGTGTAGTGACCTCGAGCATAGTTGTTGGCTGCGTCCTCCTTGCCGCTGATCAACAGCTCTGGGTGGAACAGCTGGCGGTAATCACCAGTGCGGATCTCGTCAATGGGGGAGGGGTCAAGGTCGACGAAGATGGATCGAGGAACATATTTGCCACTGCCAGTCTCCGTGAAGACGGTATCGAGCTCGCCCGAGTCGTGGAGAGCCTTCGCGTCGGGATCAGGCCGACCATCCTTCTTCAGGCCGTGTTCGAGGAGGTACCTGTCCCAAGTCAATCGAGTATACGTCCACAATGCATCCTGCAAGACTTACAGCTCCCAAGCACTGTTCCCGAGCTGTGTGCCAGCCTGGCCGATATGGAGATGGAGGATCTACAACAGGAGGAGCATCGTTAGCCTCCAATCGACACTGCGACGCGGGCACATCAGGGGCTTGCACGAACGCGGAGGTCGACTCCGCAGCGGCAAAAAGTAAACATACCTCGCCTCTCGTCATTTTGTCTTCAGATTGTGATTTTGCGAAGTGTGGAGAGTGTGTTGGAGACGTGATGACAGCTCTGTGGGCAACAAGCAAAGCAGATCAATGCGACTGTGGTTGGGGGGTTTGGAATTGAGTTGAGAAGTGCGATTATGGTGGGGTTTGGCTGCGGGCGCGCTCTCAGGGGTAAAGCCAATCGCGAAAAGGCGGTCTGGAGTTATGTTTACCGTCACGTGAACTGCATAAAAAGAGCCAATGGGATTTGCATAATTCTCTGCGTCACCGAGACAATTGTTGCTATGTAAACACGGCGATTGATCGTTCTCCGAGGTCTCAAGAAACATCACGAGTGTCATAATTCGACGACGACGGCGACGATTCGGTCGAGTAGAGTAGTTGCTGCATGGGTGATTAGGAGACGGCTCCTGGTGGACAGGAAAAGCGGTGGTCAATGTCCCAAGTCAAGCTGGACATTGAACATAACTCCTTTCTAATGTACATGCGATATAGTACACTCAAAAGTCTCCTCCCTTCGAAATATCTTGGAAATCCTAGAATATCAGTTTCTACAACTTTGGAGTCCGTATAAACGTCTAACATTGATTTGGGACATTTAATTAGTTCTGCTTTCTCTGTCCACGCGAGGACGGGCAAGAAAAGTCAGAGAACGAGGGAGAGGTAAGATCAGGAACTCAGGAGTCAGAAAGGGAGAGCAAAGGAGGTCGCAGCTGGTGGGGCATTCTTCCATGACTTGATATTGCTACATAAGGTATTCTACAATCATCATGAGCCATACGCGATCCCACCCGTCTATCTCGAGAGCGCAATATCGTCAACTACACCACAATTAGTTTTAACATCCATTAATCAGGGAACAGGGGTACTTGCTTCTTAATATCATTTTCACAGTCTCACTGGCCAATTCGACTGCACTCGTGCTTACGAGTAGAGGCTGCAGAACATTCTCCTCTGCAATATCAACCTTCACACCCCCACTCTTGATACTCACCCCCGCATTCTTCTCACCAAACTCATGCTTATGCCTCAGCTCCGTGACCACTTTGATAGAATTTAAGCCCGCGTTCTCCGCCAGAGTTGTAGGGATCACTTCCATGGCGTCCGCGAAGGCCTTCCAGCAGATTGCCTCGGTGCCAGTGAGTGCTCGTGCCTGTTTCGACAGTTGAGACGCGATCTCAATTTCTGGAGCGCCGCCGCCGGCGATGAGGGCTTTCTTCTTTACGAGACACCGGATCACGCAGAGGGCGTCGTGGAGCGAGCGCTCTGCTTCCTCAAGAATCATGGCGTTGGCACCACGGCACACGATAGACACAGTCTTGCCAGCGCTCTTCGTGCCTGTTACCTTGACAATTCTGCTTCCACTGCTTTGCACTTCCTCGATCAGGTCGGCGGAACCGAGTTTGTCCTCGGTGAAGGAGTCGATGTCTGCGATTGGCTTGCAGCCTGTGGATTTGCAAATGAATTCTACTTCGTCCCGCTCGATATCTTTGATGCAGAGAATGTTGAGCTTTGCGAGGAAGTGGAGGGAGAGGTCGTTGACGGCGTCGCGCAGGATTGACTTTTGAATGAAGAGAACGTTGCATTTTGCTTTCTTGATCTTTTTTACCATGTTCAGGAGGTAGGTGCGTTCTTCCTTGAGGATCTTGTCCATCTGGCGGTAGTCGTTTACCACGATTGAGTTTTCCATCTTTAATGTATGTTAGTGAGGTTACGAGAGTTGGGGGGCGAGGGAGGTACGTCGGGCTTAGGTGGTGAGAGCTGGAATTGGATGAGACCGATCCTGGCTTTCTCCATTCTGACAGGACCGCCGCCGTTCTTGAGAACTTGTTGATTCATTACTAGGCCCTCTACCATCTCGCTATCTTCAATTGTCCCGCCGACTTTCTTCAGGATTCGGATGTTCTTTAGGTCTACGTTGTCTGCGGTCTTGATGTCGATGGTCTTGATCACAGCGTTGACTGCCATAGGAGCAAGGAGGCCTGAATGTTGTGAGACGATTTTCGAGGAGAGGGAGGTAGTTGCGGCTTGTAAGAGGGTTGAGGTGTCTGTGAGAGAGACGGGATGTGACATGTCGTGTAGAATTTTAACGGCTGCTCCTGCTGCTCTTTGGAAAGCCTCAGCGATGACTGATGGATGAATACCCTTTCCGAGAAGCTTGTCCGCTGCTCCCAATAAACTTCCACACAGCACCACTACTGAGGTTGTTCCGTCTCCCGCTTCAACATCTTGCGCCGCTGATAAATCCACCAACATCTTGGCCGAAGGGTGCAAGACCGCCATGCTCTTCAACATCGTAGATCCGTCATTCGTGATTATTGTCTCGCCCTTCCCAGACATGATCATTTTGTCCACTAGATATTTATTGGCTTAATGATCTTACAGAACACAAGAGTTTCGAAGGCGAGGAAAGGTAAGAGATGGAACGTACTGCCTCTGGGGCCTAAACTCGTTCTGACAGCATCTGCGAGAGCTACTTCAAGTCAGCTTCACCTCCAAAAGCCTTCAATAAATCTCAAATCTACCTCTGGCAGCTTGAATATTCGCAGCCCGAACAGCCATCGGCTTCTCCTTGTCCTGCAAGCTGTGTTAGCTACCATGGAAATATTCGAAGCTTCAAAAGCTCCCACCTTGAAGGCTGCATTGCCAGAATTTCCAGCCGCTTGTGAAAGAGCCATTCTGAAATGTTCCGATCTGGTTTCGAAGAATGGAAAGCAGTTTTTGTTGTTGAGGTGTGGAAAAGAGCTGTCGTCGCGTCCAGCGACTGTTCAACCGCGTTCTCCAAAATTTGCAAGGGCGATTTCCAAGGGCGGAAGCTAAACCACTTTCGTAAGCTTGCCGACTCGCCGTGCTTCGTAACGTTTGGCTTGCCTTGCCATCTCAAAGACAACAACACACACTTCAACATCATCTCCTCGACGCGCACGAATCTTCCAACTCTTCACAGACATTCAAGATGCCTTCGTATGTATCTCTCAAGCTGTTACCATTTTTGTCCCCCGTTGTGAGGCTCTCGCGTGAATGTGACTGCGCGAGGTTCCAGCGCCTCCGTTCACAGCTGCACACCCTCTATTTGTCCCAGAAGCTGACAGATGGGGGATATACAGGGCTACGGGTGCCTCTTGGGAAAAGTACAAGAAAGAGGTTTGTGATTCTGGGCGTACTGGGCGAATTCTGCTGACAGTTGGGCAGTTCGCCGACGACGAAATCGAAGAAAAGAAGATCACACCTCTTTCCGATGAGTACGAAACCCTCTCCGGCACATATGTCACACTTATTGACCTTCTTAGGGATATTCAAGTATTAAAAACCTATGGCGCCGCACCCTACGCAGCCGCTCTCAAGAAACTAGAACAACAGATCAAGGAGAAGCAACAGAGCGTGAATGAGAAGATTGGCGTCAAGGAATCAGATACTGGATTAGCACCACCTCATCTCTGGGATGTCGCCGCCGACAGACAACGAATGTCCGAAGAGCAGCCATTACAGGTGGCGAGATGCACGAAGATCATCCAGGACGAGAAGGATACCGAGAAGAGCAAATATGTTATTAACGTCAAGCAAATAGCAAAGTTCGTCGTGAACCTCGGAGAGCGTGTCAGTCCTACGGATATCGAGGAGGGCATGAGAGTTGGGTAAGCAATTCTGGAGCCTTTATCGAATTTCATAGCTGACCTGAGACCAGTGTCGACCGAAACAAGTACCAAATCCTGCTACCTCTCCCACCAAAGATCGATGCCAGCGTTACGATGATGACAGTTGAGGAGAAGCCTGATGTAACATATGGTGACGTTGGGGGATGCAAAGAACAGGTGGAGAAGCTGCGTGAAGTTGTTGAGATGCCGTTGTTATCACCAGAGCGATTCGTCAACCTTGGTATCGATCCACCAAAAGGTGCTTTACTTTATGGTCCACCAGGAACTGGAAAGACTCTTTGCGCCCGAGCTGTTGCCAACAGAACAGACGCCACATTCATCCGAGTCATTGGAAGCGAGTTGGTGCAGAAGTATGTAGGAGAGGGTGCACGAATGGTCCGCGAGCTTTTCGAGATGGCACGGACGAAGAAGGCTTGCATCATTTTCTTCGATGAAATTGACGCTATCGGAGGAGCTCGATTTGACGATGGTGCTGGTGGCGACAATGAGGTTCAAAGAACGATGTTGGAGCTGATTACTCAACTGGACGGTTTCGATGCTCGAGGAAACATTAAGGTCATGTTCGCCACCAACAGACCATCTACTCTGGATCCCGCCCTCATGAGACCCGGCCGTATCGACCGAAAGATCGAATTCTCCCTCCCAGATCTCGAGGGTCGTGCAAACATCCTGCGAATCCACGCCAAGTCTATGTCCGTCGAGCGAGACATCAGATGGGAGCTGATCTCCCGTCTTTGCCCAAACTCGACTGGTGCTGAGCTTAGAAGTGTTTGCACGGAGGCGGGTATGTTTGCTATTCGTGCAAGAAGGAAGGTTGCTACCGAGAAGGATTTCTTGAGCGCGGTCGACAAAGTCATCAAAGGGAACTTGAAGTTCAACTCTACTGCTACTTATATGCAATACAACTAGATGGCTCGGGAAGATGGCGGATGTACACTAGCTGGCGCAGGTGTTCAAGGCAGCATTAATGAGAGCAATTTGAGACCTGGTTCTTGATACAATTAGATCCTTGACGTTGTCCATGTGGAGAAAAATTCCTCCTAATCTCAGGTCAAAGCAATTATCATTTTTGCTTTACGTTTGCTTATTATTGGCGTTAGAATCAACAGCAAACTTCGAGGATGTAGCTCCCAAGGCTCATTGCATCAAATTCTCGCTGCCATGCTACCTCCCAGCCCCTTCCGCAAAATACCATCCGGTTCCCCAACCAGGCTCCATTCTACTAGCAACATGGCCGTTTCTATTTACCTTCACTAATAGAACACTTTACCTCTCAATCTCCTTACCCATTGACCTGTCCCTTTCCCCAATCCTCTTGATGAAGTGTATCCCGACGAACACAGCAAGTAAGCTGAAGGTAAAGGCACGTACAACCAAGCCAGCTATCACGGCATCGGAGGGGCATGGGCTAGAGAGGCTTGGTCTGGGTCGTAGGAGATGCTTGCGCATATAGCTAAGGATCAACTTATTTGAAGAGAAGAAAGAAAGAAGTCAATCAACTGGGAGCAGAGAGTACGACTGGGGATCACTCTGAAAGTATGAGCATCCGATAATGGTTAGCAGTGCATGCAGGGGACATATTTGTATTCCTGGGCAGGGATCGAATTATAAAAAAGTCGAGAACTTTTATGAAAGACGGAGCTACAAGAAATATTGGCGGTACAGTTGAGAAAGTGGAATGATGTCTGAAGGCCGGTGTCTCATGAAAGGGGCCTGGTCGAGACACAGGGGCGTCGGGATCCAAGAACCCGAGACTTATTCAAATATCTTTGATATATCAGGAGTTGATTAACGTAATGTCCCCGTGACTTCCAAGATCGATAGAGCGCCGTCTTTGTTTCGAGTCAGACATTTTAAAATCCTTTTATTTATATTTATACCTATTGAGTGGCTACGCATACTTGTAGACAACGAAATGGCACTGTAAGACATCAGTCTTCATATAAGACTCTTCAAGAAAGAGGCTTATTAGATTCAAGCTTGAACCATCCTTCATAAGTTAATAATTTCCGTCTTCTTATGAATCAAGGTGCTGGTTTCGGATTTTCATCATGGAGTACACGTACTTTTGCGAAGTCTCCCAAATCCTGTGAATCCCCTAGGTACTTTCTATGTAACCGAATCAGCAGTCTGATATATGAATATCCATATCCGTGATTTAGACAGAGCAGGCCACCAGGGCCAATCACGAATCTGTGAGTGACTACTAGACTTTCGAAACTTCTCGACGGTGTGAAGAAGCATAAAAATGCCTATTTTCTGACAGAGGCAGCTTCTCCTTCTCCATCAACCAACCAAAAATTTGAACCGACAAACCAATAGTACAACAGTTTAACAAGAACTAAAGAACTCTAGATATCAACCATCCTTCAACACGACGATAACAAAACCCACCACTTAGTATGGTCTTTGCCAATAACGACGAAGTCTTCAGATTCTACCTCTGTTGGAATCCGAGACGTGCTTGGGAATGTTGTCGGGTAAGAGAAGAAAGGATAACTTAATGCATTTGGGAAAGGAAAAGTTGACATGATCTAGTGCAACCATTTAAACTTGCCATATTTGGGAAGGCACTGCGAGGTTTGCGGTCATTATGCTAACCCACAATACTGCAATTGCTGGTATCCACCCTAAAAACTAGAGAGAGTTCCCTCCGCGAGGGTTGGACTGTAGCAAAATTCGTTGGGTAAGCTGATTCTTCGCGGTCACAACATAAGGATTGGATGGGGGGTTACACAATAGATAACCGTTGAGCTTTGAAATTGTGTTTGTTTCTACTGCCATACAGGGTGATCGATATATTTATAACCTCTTTGTACAAAGTCATTCTAGCTTATTCAGGTTGATATGTCTTGCTGTCAACACAGTCTTTTGGAGCCGCATCCATCTACCAGACAAATCTGTGACGTGCTGATTTTGTAGTGGGTTCGTCATACCATATCATTTCGTCAAGAAATGAGTACGGATGAGATGCTCTATGGGTATTTTTTTATTAATTGCGTATAAGGGGCTAAAATATAACTAATAAAAAAAGGTCTTATTTTATAATAATATTATAAAAACTAGCCTTCTTAAGAGATAGGGAAGGGGGCTAGAAGGGAATTAGATTCTCAATTATATAAGTACTCCCTAGAAGGGTACTAGTATATAGATAAAATAGAGTTAACCTAAAGTCATATATAAAATTACCACTTTGGGCGGATAATCCTGGTTTGAGAAAGGTACGCGAGCTGGTCAGGGATTTGGCAGGGGCACCACTACTTTTGTATCTATCAAAGCCGGGGACGAAATAGGGGGGGATGAGTAGCTAAGCGAGCAACCAGCCGCAGAAGCCCCACGCACCAGCCACGCCCGCCACCTTCCTTTCTTCGAGCAACGGAGGTTGAGGAGCAACAAAGAAACATCACCACCATCGCAAAACTACCACGATGAACTTGAACACATATCTTCAGGATACCGCCTTCATGCATGCTTGGAGGAGGGATTGTTAGCAACATCTCTCCTTGCTGAATCCATCTTCCAGCCACCTTCCATGCTGCATCACCATGTTTACACCCCAGAAGCGAGGCAACTATCCCCCTTCTTTCAAGAGCCCGAGCACGTCTCGACTCAACAAGGGCCTCTTCGCAGACGGAATCTGGCATTGTGATTGCTGTCCGAATCCCATGCGCTCCTCATCTAATGGTCAGCAGGCAATTGCGATCCACGACTCCCAGCTACACAGTTCCAGGTCAAGAAAGAGGGACCGAACAAGGGAAGATGGTTTTACACATGCCAGGAGTCGAAGGAAAACGGCTGCGGATTCTTCCTCTGGAAGGAAAATGCAGCTCCAAGGGAGATGGGTGCAGTCATGAGCAATACTCGATACGAACCAGACCATCGCCAAACTACAACAGCAGAAGCAGCGAGAGATAAGAGGACAGTGGAAGGGCATGCGGCGACGAGCAACAAGTTCATGACAGATTTGGCGAAGGAGGATGAGGACGAATATGGCAGCAGTTTTGAATTGCCACCAGAGATGGAGAAGGCAATGGCAAATGTTGCGGAGGAAGCAGGGATGCGGTCCCCAGAAACACCTCGAAAGGCCATCAAGACAAGTTATGCAGCAACGCCGGGAAGCAAGAGGAAGCATGAAAACGATTCACTGCCAACACCTGTTACGGGAACCAGCAAAACGCTTGCTGCTTCCAATAGTGCTTTGAACAACGACGATGTCTTCGGCACTCCGTCGACCACGATGAAAGGTGCAAATGATCGTTTCGGCTTCCGCAGCCCATCGGCTACACCCAGCCACTTTTCTCTACAGCGAGAGGAGGATACAGAAACATCGGAGGATCGTGGAGAAAGAGTACACAAAAGCTACGATATCACCGACGAGGTCATGGATCTGCTCAGAGATCAACACATCGATGAGGAAACAACGACAAGCCTCAAGGAGCTACTGAACAAACATGCGTTGAAGATTTCTGGCATTTCAAAAGGGCGAGATATCACACGAGTGGCTCTGAAAGCAAAAGATGCGAAAATCGCAGAGCTTCAGCAGAAGATTGCTGCAATGGAATCGGAACGGGAGCTCGACAAGCGAATCATCCGCCATTACAAGAGCGACATGGCTCAAAGCGTTGAGAGGAGACGTGGTCGGGGGCGAGGAAGGACTTGAATCTACAATGGTCGTCTTACGTCCAACCCGAAGCCGGCTCTCTTATAGTTCGACTAGATACCGGAAGGTTTCATCCAAGATCAGATAGCTGCTGAGGAGCTGCACTGCTGAGACATCCCGCCTCTCTCTTCAAATCCACGTAAGAGTCTCCAATGAAGCTTGGCAAGACACTCTGGACGGTTACGGAGTATGATTTATTGAGATGATGAACCGCGCCTGCTCCCAACAATTCGTCGGCGCGGGACCAGCGGCTATCAGTTCGTTTTACGAACCAGAGTAGCCCTGACTGGTGGGAATCGAAATGTTGCCTGCCATTCGAACTAGTGCCCCGCCATGCATCCTTCGTGCAGGGCGCAGACTCCAGGATCAGTCGATCCAGAATGGCGGAGCTTGCGAGCGGGGTAAGATTACATGATTCTGGCCAAGTCAGCCTCTTACTCTTCCAGTTGACGAATGAACGATACTCTATGCTTGTCCGAATGTTTTCACTGCACATAGTCCCAACTTTCCAAACTGATGCGCAAGCAAAACTTTCATACTTTGCAATTCTGATCCGCCCTTTCAGAGCATCCTCGTCCTTCTGAATATGTCTGATGTCTGATGCATCTGTGCAATCAAAGAGCTGAGTATGAATCATTGCAAAAGAACCATTACAAATCCGTCACAAGGTGCACTTTCCGAAGAAGTGCGCAAACATGTTTTTTATTACCGAGTCAAGCAGCAGCGGCTATTATTTTCCTCTTCGAGTCTTCTGCAGGGCTATTTCGTAACTAAGAATATCTTTCCCCGAAGACCTGTTTGTCCGTTTGCTCGGACCCCTTCTGGCCCCAACCTTCAGCAATCTTCGCCAGCACGCCGGGAAAATCATGGGGGGCCCCAAACTCCACTGAATATTTTTAGGTCCGCGGATCGGGCCGCAAGACTGGGACTCTCGGCCCTGAGGTGTCATAAAACTCTATTTGGTACACGAAGTCCGGTACATATATATTTGCCAGGAACATGTTGGACTGCGCCGATGCTAAATCTTGTAGTAAGTAATTCACTGTACGGAGGTCTCTCCATTTGCTTACCTGCTGATTTAGGATGCCGGCTAAATTCCACGCATCCCTGATCCCATCCTGTCGGTCGCGGATCCCCTTCCGGAGAAATCCCAGCATAAGCCTCGTGGGTTGCATGCATGTTTCCGTGATCTCGAAGCCTGTCATTCGCTGAAACATCGGCGAGGCGGGTGCAGAACATTACCGGAGATTGGAACATCATGTAAGTATCGGAAACCAACAGTCTCCAAGAATGCATGACCCAGGATATTCTCCTCGATTCAGCCGCCACCACTGCAGGGGAGGGGCGTGGTGGACCTGACATCGGGAGTGGGGTAAAGAAAGGCAAAAGATTTGTGCTCTAGAACATAAGAAGGCGGGTGTTGCTTTGTGTTGGATGTCATGGGCAGCTCTTTCCTCTAGTCAATTGAACCTTCTAGGTCTTAAGCCCACCTTTTTCTTAACAAGGCTGTCTTCCCCTCCAGCAGCCAGACACCATGATCGACATGGGAAAGTTCTGGTACTTGGCACTCCTCTCCCTCTCCCTCTTCTCATCGGTCATAGCCAGCTCGAACACCTATGACTATATTGTCGTAGGCTCTGGCCCAGGTGGCGGCACATTGGCAGCCAACCTTGCCAAAGCAGGACAATCTGTTCTCCTTCTGGAAGCAGGCGATGACCAAGGTAGTAACCCGAACGAAGAAATTGCTGGTTGGTTTTTCAAGGCGTTCAGTGACCCGTTAATGCGGTGGGACTTCTTCGTCAAATTGCATTCCGACGATGCAATTACTGCCCAATACGAGCACTTGACGTGGGAAACCACAGACGGGCAGTTCTATGTTGGCACGGATCCTCCCGCAGGAGCGAAGTTACTTGGCGTGTACTATCCTCGCGCTGGTACACTTGGTGGATGCTCCACTCACAACGCACTCATTGCAGCACTTCCAAGCCATAGCGATTGGGACTATATTGCCCAGATCACTGGTGATGCATCCTGGAAGTAAGTATCTTCTTCGTATGTTGAAGTTGTGGGAAACAAAACTAATAGCTTTTAGGCATAATAACATGCAACAATATTTTGCCCAACTCGAACACGACCACGTCGTCCCGCCAGGAACTCCAGGGCACGGTTTCAGCGGCCCCCTCGACATCACTGTCAACGGCCCCCAGTACCTGCAAAACCAGACCAATGCTTTCAAAGTGCTACAAGCTACAGCCCAAAGCTTCGGCCAGAATCCCGCGAACCTTTCGAATATCTTGACATATAGCGATCTTAACAATAACAACGCGAATCACGATCAGCAAGTAGGCATATTTGGTTGCCCTGCCCATAGGACTGTTGATGGCAGACGTGTTTCTTCTCGCACCTTGGTCGTCAATATATGGAATGCGACGAACGCCGATGGCTCGAAGAAATATCCAAATTTCGACGTTCGCTTGCACTCGTTCGCTACTAAGATTCTTTTCAACACAAATGGAGCTGTGCCTAGGTATGTTGACTTGGAATGAATATGTACGGAGATGTCGAATGCTAAACATCCATTTTCAGGGCTATCGGTGTTGAGTACCTCGCCGGAGAGAGCATGTACAATGCAGACCCAAGGCACAATTACACGGCCAACCCGGGAGTCAAGACGCAAGTCTTTGCCCGAAAAGAAGTCATCGTCGCCGGTGGAACTTTCAATAGTCCTCAGCTTCTCATGCTCTCGGGTGTTGGCTCCAAAGCCGACCTCAAAGCCCTCGACATTTCAGTGGTCGTGGATCTCCCTGGTGTTGGCACCAATCTCCAGGACAACACCGAGATGGGGGTGTCTGCAGAAGCAAGTCAGGATTTCACGTCCATCGGTCCGCCTTGTACCTTTGGCGCAACACCAGATGACCCTTGCCTCCCACTCGTAAGAAGTCCTCTATTCCGAAATACCAATATTCCCATGTTCCAAAGACCCTCTCACTAACTCATTCTTCCAGTGGGAAGTAGGCCAAGGACCCTACATCCAAGGTCCCCTCGGCGCAGTAATGTTCAAATCCTCCCAAGCCGCTCTTAATGAGCGCGACTTCATGATGTTCCCTCTCTCCGCTGGTAGCTTCAACGGCTACTGGCCCGCGGAGACTGTCAATGTGGTTCCTGGCCCCGCACAATCCAACTTTGACTTCTCCATGGTGAAGATCCACACACAGAGTCGCGGCACGGTGAAGCTCGCCTCCAACAACCCGCGCGACACTCCTCTCATCAACTTCCAATTCTTCGAAGGGGCAGGCGCGGATGCTGATCTCCAGGCGTATGTTGATGCTGTGCAGTGGGGCAGGGGTGTGTTTGATAGCTTGAACAGCACTCTGGGCCCCTGGACCGAGACGCTCCCGTGTCAGGGCAACCGGAGTTGCGACGTTAAGGCGTTCGTTAAAGCGCAAGCGTGGAGTCATCATGCGACGAGTTCGTGCGCGATTGGTAGTGATAATAATCCTCTCGCGGTGCTGGACTCGAAGTTCAGAGTCAGGGGAACCAAAGGACTGAGAGTCGTGGATGCGAGTGCGTTCCCTAGGACTCCGGGTGCGTTCCCTGTCCTGCCGACTTTCGTCCTAGGCATGAAGGGTAGTGCAGCGGTATTGGCGGATGCGAACAGCTGGTAATGATTTATGAAAAGAATCTAGAGGTGAAGTGGAGAGGATTGGAGTATATAAAAGGCACAAGTTAATAAATTAAATCTAATTCTTCATTTCTTCCTCTCACCTCTCTATCCTTCTCAATTTCATGCTCTCAGACCAATCCTCCCAAAGCCTTTTGTTTCCCTCCTCCCACTGTATACCCCTCAGTTTTACCGCTCTGTAAAGAACTCGGGCAGGCCCTACTACCTACTACCTCATGAGCCGGCACAATCCCATCCTTAAACGGCACCTGCAACGCAATTGTCTCCTTCCCCCCCGGATACTCCGTGAAATGGCCCACGCCGTTTACATCATTCGCAACGATCAAGCTCTCCGCACCTTCACGAATCCACAGCTCTTCAACATTGAACGGGAATGTCACATGTGCGAGGCCTGACAGCAGGATGAAGAACCTGTACGAAGTACCAAAGATGCTTTAGTGGTGGTGGGGAACATCGACGCAATAGAGTATAAAGTGGGATTCCTGGGAGTGGGACGGAAAGGACATGCATATTTACATTGGATGAGGAGGTTTATGAATTCCTTCAGCAGACTGAGGCGGCAGGATAACGTATGTTACGTTTGTGGTGTTTGCGATGGCGAGGGAGTTGCCAACTGTGGGGTAGGCGCTGAAGGCTGTGAGGAAGCGCCAGCATTCGAGGTAAGCGTGGTCGTTTGAGTCGGTGGTGACGGCTGTTATGGATAAGTATTGCTCATCTTTGGCGGCGAAGCCTGTCAAGACGAGGAAAAAAACAGCGAGGATATAGAAGAGGCACATTTTACAGGTATCGGGAGTTCTGTTGCCAGGACGATAGTTGAAATGAAGATTGTCAGATCAGTATTTTTAAGCTTTTTCAGGCAGTTGTACCCCGCACTATCACGCATAAGCGCTGAAAGCTTGAACGTTTGCAGGGGCAAATACCTCCGATATTTAGCGAGTGTCAGAGGAGTTTGAAACAACGAAGTCAGTACTGCCCTTTGTTAATTGGTCCCTCAATTCAGGCCCATCTAGTGGATTGCCTGTAAAAATGAATGTAAAAATAAAAAGGAACTCAATGTGGTCTGTTCGCATTATCTACAGTATGTACATATGATTCGAGTAGCGAACCAAGATAGCCCGCCATACGGCTTCCAATCATCTTGCCTCCAGAAGGTGCACAGACGCCGACTATGTACACCGAGTAGATTCAAACGGTCTCACTCGCCGCCCCAACACATATCTGGATTCGACTGCAGCCCTTATTGTGACCCATTTTAAAGTTGCCCGATAGATGCCTGGCCATTGGCCCATTTTATGTTTGTCTCCGCTGGACAGGGTTCGACAACATCAGGCTTCAGCTGAAGCCTAAACCTTAGTAATTTTATCATAAGGCTAAGTGACCCCCAACATCAGTTCAAAGTTCCGAAATATTCTCCACTGCTTTGCACACTATTCGAAAGTCGAAAGTCATCTTTGCACTCTCTGAAAGCTAGCATTATCGGACATAACCAAGAAGTTCCAACATCGGCAGCCAAGATGAAGACTCCCAGTCCGAACGATGTCAACATCCCTCAAGTGGAGGCCACCGATGGAGATGTCATCATGATCAATCCCACTGACCCGAGCGCCCAAGTCGAAGAGAAGCCTGAAATCGAAATTGGGTCCATTTGTGACGTGAAGGATCTCTACAAGGGCAAGGAAAATTGTCTTTGCTGCATCACCTGGTCTGCGGAGCCCCAGAAGAAACTGCCAGAGAAATCTTCTGATGAGACTGGCGGCTATGCAATCCTCACAAGACGAACTGAAGGTCATGGCGATTTCGGGCGAGACCAAAAGCTACACTCGATCGTGATCCAGAGCCCCGTAATCCGAGATGTCTTGGAGCCTGTATTGAAAGAGTACCCAGGTATCACTTCAGAGCTGTCTTCGTTGACTATTGAGGCACCATTTGCTTGCTTCTATCATCGATGGGCGGAGCTCAAGGCTGCCTTCAAGCTTTGCACAGGGGAGACGGCACAACATATGGGTTTGTTGATGACAATTCTGACAGAGGAATTTGACGGCACTCAGAAGGCGATGAGTGATCTCTTGAGGAACGATGTAATCGAGTACAAGTACCTTTGGGCATTGTTCAATCCTGGGGCTGTTCTTATTACGAAGATGCAGGGTTTGGAAGCTGCAGTGATCTTGGAAGATGCAGTAGAGTACGATGAGCAAAATGGAGACGAGGGATATGCTTTACTGTGCAGGCACATCGACTACAACGGCGGTACAACCGGCTTCGTCAGCACCAAAATCAAGATTCCTGAATTCAAAGGGTCGAAACCGTTGAGTAGCTTGCCTGCTGTTCCGCTTCGCACTCGCGAGGACCAGCAGGAAGTCACGGAGAAGCTGGTCCGTCAAGGAAAAAGGTTTGCAGAACTCAGAAACGCGTCTTTTCTGGAGTATTCTGGTGTAGCCTTCTTGACAAACAATCGAGATCGTGACATAGATGATGAAGAGCAAAGGGTCCAGACACAGGTATGTCCTAAACTCTACTTCTATTGAGAAAATCTAGCTGACAATGTGTAGGTCAACGGTCGAGTTATGGTGGATGCCTACGCCTGCTTCCAATTCAATAGGGGTGAGAGACTCTACTTGCGACCTTTGACGGTGACGGATCCGATCAACAGAGTCAATCATCAAAGCGGGCATCGTAATCATAGACACATAGGAGCGAAACATGGCCCTAGAGCTTATCATGCCCCTCCTCCTCCGCCTCCACCACCTTCAAATTGGAACCGAATTGACCTGTGGGATCCACACACTGGCCACCCCGTGCAGGAGTCAAAAGGACGTCCGAAAGAAGCAGACCAAATAAAGCTCACTGATGAGCAACTTCTAATCTGTGCGCCGTTCGTGAGGGGCTATTCGTTCAAGACCAAAGAGTGGCGTGAGTATTGCTCCCAGATAACAGAAGCTTTTGTTGACAGGTAGCAGTTCTCCTTAACATCAATGAGTTGGTCCCTATTAAATGGACCGAGGATATGTTCGAGAACCTCGTGCTACCAATGGAGGAAAAGCAGCTTCTTTTAGCATTGACAAGAAGCCATGCGAAGGCAAATTTGAAGTTCGACGACTTCGTGGTTGGTAAAGGTACGTCGAATCCGAGTCCTACAAAGCACCAAAATTGACAAAGTATTATAGGCAAGGGAATGATCATGATGCTTGATGGAGCGCCCGGCACAGGCAAAACTCTTACTGCGGAGGGCGTCGCTGAGGCAATGAAGGCACCCCTCTATACAATGAGTGCTGGTGAGCTCGGCTTAGAAACACGCGTCGTAGAAAAAAAGCTTTCAGACATTCTCGAGATGGCGACCATGTGGAATGCCATTTTGCTTATTGATGAAGCTGATATCTTCATGGAGCAACGAGGCCCTCATGATCTTGAGCGAAATGAGCTCGTGTCAAGTAAGTCACACTCTCCAGAGTCCATATCCAAGTCACAGTGACTAATCAGAGCAAACAACAGTCTTCCTCCGTCACCTTGAATACTTCAAAGGCGTAATGATCTTAACTACGAACCGCGTTGAGATGATGGATCTAGCCTTCGACTCTCGCGTCGATATTCGCCTCCACTACCCTGATCTTGACTCCCCTGCACGTCGCAAAGTTTGGGCCAATTTTGTTGACAAGTTGCCTGGGAATTCAATCTTTGGGGCTGAGGAACTTGATCGACTTGCCGCGGTGGAATTGAATGGTAGGCAGATTAAGTCTGCTATGAAGACTGCGTATTTGTTGGCTTCCGGCAATGACGATGATGTTCGGTTTGAGCATATCCAATCTGTGTTGAGGATTACGAGGGAGATGATTCTCTGATGGGGCTAGGAGCTAAGGGTGAAATGGAGAAAGTGGGCAAGGTAGTCATACCGTAGTGAGCCATTACTTATACAACTTTTCATTTGCCAACGTTGCTGCACAAGAGATATTGCCAAATCTCAATCAATATTCTCCATGCCCACACCAGCCCCACACCCAAAGACACACCCAGGAAATTCGGCTCTTTAGGCTCGAATAGGCCTAAGAGAGAGCGCTCCCCAAATCGCCATCAACTTCGATGTCTTGCTTTGATCGAATCCGCAGCTTAATTTACCGTCAATCATTAGTTCGCAATTCCTTCTCTAATAAAGATGTAGTACATTACTTACCTTCTCAGCAACAGCATAATATTGGAAAGTGATCGATTTATTGATGGAAAATCGATATATTGGAGGTTGACAATCTGTAGAATGACTAGATACAGGAGAGTAAAGAGTAAAAGAGGAGAAGAAGGAATCTAAAGTACAGTTCTTATATACCCACTAGTGGGTGGCGATTTCCTCCAGTATACTATGAATCAGATGACTCATATATATTAGTGAGCGTTCCCTGAGCTTCCATAGTGAGCTATTCCATAGGCTTCCATAGTAAACCATTATAAATGAGAGTGGCGAAGCTAATATTAGTAGTTGAACCTGGTACTGGAAGGACTAGTAAGCTAGTACCAATTCAACACATAAACCGTCGAGCAAGTATGCGTTGCCGGAAAGGTATCACAATTATGTCCCCCAAACTTATGCCCCTGACCCCATGAACCCTGCAATTACCCAAAGAGCCATATGCAGGATTCTGGTGTGGTAACGCTAATTCGTTATTGTCTGGCTGCGAAGTTCTCTGATAGACCACAACCCTTCAATGGCTCGGCGGGAGGAATCAAATTTGAAAGGCTTGAGAATTCGCCAAAGGGCGCACTGTTACGTAATAATATGCTATTTCACGAATCTACTTTGCTTACCCATATAATTTGCACCGAATCTTGACCTCACCAAATTCCACTTCCGTCTTTGGGCCTGAGCAGTCGCTGCTCTAACCTGAGCCGAGCCCTGAGCCCTGAGCACGCTAATGAGTCAGCTGGATCGTGCTCAGGGGATCCTCTTTTGGCTCCCTAGAGATCGGTTATAGTTTCTATGTTTTCTAAATATAATCTTAATGCCTGGAACACAGCCGCTTACCCTAACGCATTACGATATCGTAATAGTATCCGTTTTCGCTCTCCTGCAAGGATCCCTGCTGGGGCCGATTTTGCACCCTATCTAAAGAAGTGGCTATATTGCTGTATAGGTTACCCCTGATAAACATGAGATTTAAGTGTGCAAGTAACGCAAGGCAGAATTATCTCGGCACAGCTGGGAGATTTATGCACCACAGGCCAGTGAACGCAACTTTGTAATCGAGAGGCTCCTTGCTTATATGAAACTTCTCAACTCCCGCGCAGACAGGACTAAGTAAGGCACCTCCCTTCAAAGGTAATTTCTTTATCGTAAAGTATTGTGGGACGTATAGAGATTGCATAAGCAATATAGTTTGTACCCAGGTTCAATCCTAGAGACTCTGGAATTATAGAGGGAAGATAATATAAACTCGTTTCGGCGATAGTATATTAATCGAAGAGATGTCTAGTAGCTTTGAAAGTTTTATAAAAATCCTAGCAAGGCAGAGTTACATCGGCACTAATACTTAAATGTTGCCTGATAAAAGGAATAAAGGTGTGATAGTTCTTATGTCACGTGCTACTATCTAGTCACATGACCTATCGAATTTTTAGGTGCCTAAGGCTATAATGCTTATGCAAATAGGAAGTATTGTGCAAGCTCTTACGCTATCCCTTCGTCGGCCATCAACTGTCCACGCTAGCAAGGGTGTGCTTCCCGCACTACAGGGGGGGCTCGCTTGGCTCCCGTAGCATAATATTTATGTACCTTTGCATATAAATTTATTAGTAATATATATTGCGTGGATGAAATCGCGTCCAGGAGTTCCCTACCACTTATACGCGCATGCAATGAGCGATTCTTCCAGCCTACCTTCTAGCCCACCTTTAGGGCCTACGGGTAGAAAATACCCCCAATCACTTGAAAATATACTCCTTAGACTTGGACCAATCACAGACATCCATTTTGAGCCTTTTCAGCCCGAACCTAAGCAGTCCGCACAAGCGATTCTACCTCCTACCTTCCCTCCAAAGCCATACCCATTCGATTACTTTAGCCTGTTCTTTACTCCCGAGCTCTTTCAGACGATTACACAAATACCAATTAATATGCGAGCCTCCAGAGAATACACATAGCAGAGGAAAGGGCCCGGGAATGGACAGATCTATTACTGGAGGAGTTACACGTATTTCTCGGCGCTATTATATATATGGGAATCCATACTAAGCCTCAAATTAAGATATACTGGAATTCAGACTTTAATAAAGGTCCTTTACACTCAATTACGAGCCATATATCACGTATTCGCTTTTAGCAAATCAAGCGGTATTGCCATATTTCGTACCCTATAAGTAACGAGCAGAATGGGAATCACTTACCTTCTAATAAGGTCTGGTGATATAAGCTTGAACCTCTTGCTTCCTCTATTCAAGCTTCCTCTCAACGATATTACTCGCCTTCATCTGAAGTGAGTATTGACGAGCTTATAGTTCGGTACTTTGGGAGGTATATTTCTTTAATTTTCACCCCGCTACCCCTCTATTTTACTACCTTACTAATTAATTACTCTAGATCCTTATATACGTACAAGATGCCTAAGAAGCCGATTAAACAAGGGTATAAAATCTATGGAATTGCGGATCACGGATATATATATAATTGGGCTTGGAGCTCAAGGGAGAAGGGATTACAAAGGATGGTTCTCTACCCTACTCTCACGAATACCGGTTCTCTCGTACGAAACCTAGCGCTTTCCCTCCCACACCGCTACTTGACGATATATCTCGATAATTACTTTACCTCTGTGCCCTTATTTTCAGAGCTACGAGCCTGTAAATTCGGTACCGTAGGTACTACCCGCCCGTATAAGCTATTTCCTTCTGATTTATCGGCAATCAAAAATCGATTCGCAAAAAAGCTAGAATGGAATACACTTCTTACTATAGTAGTTCAGGACACACTTTGTCTAACTTGGCAGGATAATAGTATTGTTCTAGCATTGAGCAATATTCATACTGTGGATAAGGCAGAGGACTTTCGTACGAAGGAAAGGAGGCGTCCTGCAAAGACGTCTACAAATGGGCGAATCGTACGGGACGTTTTTGGTAACTTACTAATAAAGGAGCTTCTGATTCCTTGCTTTATTAATAATTACAATCAGAATATAGGAGGTATAGACCTTGCAAATTAATTCAGGGAGGCGTACAAGACCTATAGGGCTACCTTTAGGAATTAGTGGCCCTTGTTTTACTGGCTAATTAATATAGCCTGTATTAATGAATATAGGCTATATCAATTACATACGAAGCAAGGGCATTCTCTTACACACTTGCAATTCAGAATCGAGCTTTACTATAAGCTTTTAGGGTATTCTGAGAAGGCGAAGCTACAGAGCTTGCGAATAGGATTAGGGGGTAAGAGGGTATTTAATTCTGATCTCCAGCATTTACACTACTGGGAAAAGCGTACTACTAGGGGCACGTGCACATGATATATATATAAACAAAGGTGCCAAAAGGTCCTTGGGAAAGCTGTAGAAGGGAGGGCAAACCGGTCAATGGGAGGGTGTATGTTCTGTGAGGTGAGCCTGTGCAAGGAGGGGGAGTGCTGGATGCGATTTCATTCCCCTCATGTAGATTACTAATAAATTTATATGCAAAGGTACATAAATATTATGCTACGGGAGCCAAGCGAGCCCCCCCTGTAGTGCGGGAAGCACACCCTTGCTAGCGTGGACAGTTGATGGCCGACGAAGGGATAAGGCATGTACAGCTCTGGAAAGTAGGGCATTTGACCCCTATAAATACAGGCTACTTACCACTGCAGAATACTAGTCAATTCAGTCCTGATCATACTGATCTTATATATTGCACGTGACTTTATTAGTCTAGCTTGAAAGGAATATCAATTGGAAATTCCAATAGAACCCGGCCACGTTTTATGTCACGTGACATACCATCGTGTATATATTGCGCCCTTCTCTCTCTCTTCTTCTCTCCCTAGCTTTAGATCCTCGAATATAGGCATTCTAACTCTTTTAAGGCTTCGACCTATTCGTTTACTGTCTCCCCTGAATCCTAGGTATCCGAGCCTTCACAATTAGTGAGCTTAGCCGAGGACTTGTTTCTGTAAACATGTAACATTTCGGCTACCTTTATATTTGAGGCAATCGCGTCCATGCCCAGCCTAGTTGAACCTAGACTACTCCATCATTATTCGAGTCATAGCAAAGCCGGCAGGTTCTCTGCTCACAGAGGCTAATCTGCGTTGTGCTCCACACCACAGACTTCCGATGACGACCAAGTTTGCGTACAAGTACTCAGATCTCGGACCACGCCGCCAGCCAGCCGCAACTGCTGGCAAAGGCTGCAACCGAGTTCGACTTCTTACCCTGCTCCCCGGCGTCTCCGGGGATGAAATCACCGTAACTCTGCGCATGGTCAGCCTGGACGCCCTGAACCACACGAAATATGAGGCTCTGTCTTACGTCTGGGGATCGGAGAAGGAGCCTATCGCCATCACGGTCGGTCGCAGGTGGAGCCTGAATGTCTCCCGGAATCTTGCTGTGGCTCTCAAACATCTTCGCTTCGAAGTCGAGCCTCGCGTTCTCTGGGTCGACGCCATCTGCATCAATCAGGAGGACCTCCAAGAGCGTGCCCAGCAGGTCGGCTTTATGGGAGACATATATCGGCGAGCTTGGCAGGTCGTCGTTTGGCTCGGCCCCGAGGAAAATGACAGCACGTGTGCGTTAGACTTTGTTAACACTCTTAATCGGGTGGTCTCGGTGAATTGGTGGAATGGCACCATGGGGCCTGCGATAGGGACCGAGATGATGAGCCTCTGGCAAGCAGACCATTCGATCTCCTTCTCCGCCATGGTGAGGGAAGGTCTCGCACTCTCGGCGCTTCTCGATCGCCCCTGGTTTCAACGTGTTTGGATCCGACAAGAAATCTTCCTGGCTAAGAAGGCGATTGTCCAGTGCGGCCATAAGGAAATCCTGTGGGCTGCCTTGAAGAATACGGCCTTCTGCATATCCGAGAAGAACTTCTACTTTGGCCCACTTCAGATGACGCTGGACAGGTCTAATGTGTTCCGCGAGCGGTTGGCCTTGGTTCAAGATCTTGGTCGGGAGCGGCCGGATCACTTGCTCGGAGTCTTGAAAGCGACCATGGCTTCCAAGTGCAAGGACCCCAGAGACAGAGTCTACGGTGTACTGAATATGCTCGATCCGCGAGAATCGAACGCCGGCATTATTCCGGACTACACCCTGTCCGCGGCCGAGGTCTACAGGAATTTGGTGGTACACTTTATCGCTCACTACAAATCCTTAGACATTCTCTCCTATACGAGACTAGAAAGGTGTTGAACTAGCTAGCTTGGCTAGCATCCATTCCTTCCACTCCAGGTTCAATCACTAATTCAGTTCGTCCGATTATTGGGTATTACTTACGTACGAGCACACCAATCGTTTATTAGTATCGCCATTCGATTACGTTCCTTAAACGTACGTTCAGGAATCAGATTGGTAAATCGTTCCCACCACCAAGTAAGTGCGGGGTAAATCACATGGTGCTGGGAATCAGGAATATAGCTAGGGAACCCATTCCCTCTGTTTTTTATGGAATCACTCTCCTGTATCTAGTCAAAACTAGTCATTCTACAGATTGTCAATCTCCAATATATCGATTTTCCACCGATAAATCGATCCAAGTTCAATAAAAGGCCACGGAGCCGCGTCATCGGGCTGCCCAGTTGGGTGCCCGACTGGACAGCCGGCCAAGTTTGGATCTCGACTGGGTACTTCAATGCTGGGGGATATCTTGCACCGCAGACAACTATCATTGGGAGCCATACTCTGAGAGTTTCCGGAGTGCCAATTTCTCATATAGCCGAGCTGTTCCCCTCAGTGGAGGACGGCACAAGTTGGGAAAGCATGTACAGAGCAATCCCGCAAATGCTACCGTCATCCCAGAGGAGCTTGCGTGCCTACGGGGGCTCCGAGCCACTTGTCGAGGCTTATTGCAGAGTTCTTTGTCGGGACAATTTCAGCGACAAGGTGTTCCCTTCCAAAGACGAGCAGAGATTCACAGAGGCGATGAAGATCTTATTGGACATCCTCGGAGGCTCTACAGAGAAACGGGAGAACATAACAAAGGCCGAACAGCGCTTTCTCAGTGTCGCAACCATCGGTAGTGGAATTATTTGCACGTCAGAGGATGGCCACATCGGGTACGTTCCCAAATCGGCCAAGGTCGGCGATCTTTTGTGCGTACTGCCTGGCTGCCGAAGCGTGATCGTGCTACGACCGGCGGCGGGCCAGGTCAACTGCTACTCTGTGGTTGGTGATGCCTTTTTGGATAAGATGATGAACATCGAGGCGCTACTTGGGCCGCTTCCTGATGGCTACGTTGCGGTGTGGAAGCAGGACTCGGGCGGCAATTACTACAGCCCGGCCTTTCTCGATACCTCGACTATGAAATTTCTACTTGACGATCCACGGCTCGGTGCGTTTGCTATAGAGAGGAACACGGCGGAGAGTTCGTCTTGGGAGGAGGCCAAATCTCTGCTCAAAAAAGTGACGCCACAAATGTTGCGGGACGGAGGCGTCCAGCTCGAAGATTTCGACCTAGTCTAGGCGGGTTTAGGTACTCCCAGCATGAATCTCGCTCAAACGTATTATCAGGGACACTTAACTACTCCTGTGAATTCAACGTCTCTAGATTTTAATATTATTAGCTAGAGTAGTTTGGGTTAAGGGGTAAAATTCTAGCTTGTTCTAAGTCCTGCTATGCCCCAATTTATATACTTTAAGCCAAACTGGTCCGGATTGCAGTATAAATAAAAGCATATACGCTATCTGGTAGTATATTTAACTATTATACTTTAAACGCAACCACTTTAACGTTTAGTCTTTCAAACAGAAATACTCGCAATTGTAGTACTCCAAATACTAAATAAATAAAAAAGGTTTCAGGCAACGCTGTCTGGGGAGTGCTACTAGAGTGAATAGGAGCTGAATTGGGTTCTAAGGTACTGGCGTGAAAATTTTGCCTTGAGAAACCGAAGACAATTTTTTGGGGGGGGGGGGGGTCCTATTTTGATCTCCTTAGGAGCCGATCCGGTGCCCCGAAGTCACTGGAAGGTAGAGCAGGAACGTGACTGAGCAACCTGAGCAGAGGGTGAGGCGAGGGTGAGTAGCGCCTAAGCAGAGCGGCGACGGTGACTAACCGTGTTTGAAGCGAAGTCGAGAAGTTTTCGTATCAGATTAACGCCATAATCTCAGTCGAATCTGGACCTCCAAAGTCCACTTCCGTTTTTGAACCTGAGTAGTCGCTGCTCCAACCTCCCTAATACTGTAATGGGGATATAAAACACGGAGTAATATATAGAGTAGAATGGGCTTCCACAGTGTGGGATCACAGCGTACGAGAGTGGCGTGAAATTAGAGAGTGAAGGTTGGTTTGTTTTTCTAAGAACTAAGAAGGAGAGAGGGGTAATATAAGCGGACTGCGGACTGTCCGGATGTTCGGAGGTCACATGACAGAACCACGTGACCAGGAGATAAAATCCCCACCACAATACTAGCAAAACAGGTATATTAGCCTTTAGCCGAAATATTTTTAATAATTTAACTAAAAGGGTCAAAATATTATTAGTTCTATTTTATTAAAGATATTTTTAATATTAATATTCTAGTCAAAAAGAATTAAACTATTACTAGTAAAACAGTTATAAGAAGCTAGATTTTGCTCTATTTCTAATACTGGAATTATATATATAATTGCCCCTTTATAAGAAAGCATAGTTTATAAGAAACTATAATTCTTATTAGAAAGCTTCTAGTAATTATAAGCTTATAAAAGAAAATTTATAAAAGAAAATAACTTATAAGAAATAATTCTTGTAAGCAAATAGCTTATAAGAGAATATAGCTAGTATATAACTAATACCAAATATAATAAGCTTACTTAAAAGCAAATTAGTTATAAGACGCAGTTATATTCGAGTTTAATTATAAGAGAAAGGTTCTAGTAAGTGCGGGCATATATCGAGAAAGAAAAAACGCACTCTTTTACAGGCAATTCTAGCTATACCACAAGATTAAAATGAATATATAGTTGTCTGGATGTCGAAAATACTATAACATGTTAATTTGTTAAAGGATTTGTAATTATAATGAAGGTATGATTAAAAATCGATTTTTTGGGGTGGGCGGTTGGCCAGTGGATACTTCTAGCAAGGAAACCACCTGAGCCTCACCTCCAAGCATCAATACCTCGAGCCGCCTAGGACCTACAACCTCATCCCAACCCTCGTCGCAACAGATAGAAACAAAATGGTATAGTTGAAATATGTGCAGGGCAGGATTTACCGCTTCAAGAGCGAGTCGGAATGCTTGAAGCTGGGAATTCCTACTCCTGTTATCCAACACATCGTGGCTGCCACATGGTCCTGGTCCTGGATGTTGTACAGGCGAAGAAAGATTACGTGAAAATAATGACAGTAAGTGCGTAAATCTTTACAGCAGGCAGTCATCTGCTAACTTTATTAGATAACCTCGACTTTAAAGGATGATGGCGAATATGTCCCTATTTCCCCAACACCAAAGAAGGGCTATACAATTCAAATTCGACTTCGAAACTAGCTCGAATGGTATCATCGAGATGCTGTGCTCCGAACTACTATGCTGCCACTGTTTTCATACCTAAAGATCGACTCGTATTACGAGTTACCTATACAAATGTTGGACGAGGTTGCAGATGGCGTAGGCGAGCCTCTGATGATTTGGGCTAAACATCAAGGAGGGTTGGGAGAGCTTCGGAATCACGTTCGACATTGTGATCAGTTTCGCGAAAGAAAGAAGCTATGCCACATGATGGAGACACACTCTCTGGAAGAGCATGGTGTTTGATAAGTCCAGTTGCTGTAAAGACCTTCCCATACTCTGACCGGATCTACCGGCTTTCCGGTTTCCTGTATCATATCGCAGAATACCTGCGAGCACATCTCTGTTCAATGAACAGATACTGTACCGCCCAGCTTCGTTTCACAAAGCTATTGACGTGAGTCTACGTGATGCTGGGCAATTCCAGTATCTTAGTCGAGTTAGAGGTCACGAAATGCACGAATCGAGTGGCATGTAGCGATACGGAAATCATGAATATCATAGACACTCATTTGTGACTACTTAAAATACAGTCCTGTATTTTAAGTACCTGAAAGCAAAATCGTCAAAATTCAATTCAAAATCAAAATTCTTGAACATTCAGTCCTTTCCAAACATCTTGTTTCCCAGATATTTTTGAGCCAAGATTGCCACTTTCAGCCATTCAAGGTGACTCCTTAGCCACTTGCTCACCGTAATTACCTTTACAGTCACTCGTAAAATCAGTCTCGCCCCATTTTCGCCCACAAAGATTCCGAGCACGGTCCACGTTCAACGGTATAAGCGTCTTTATTGCAACAGTCCAACCTTCTTGCTATGTTTGACAAGGCGGTTCAGATAGACGGCCGGAACAGTTTGCTGCTTATTTTTGATCGCCTCCTGAGTCAGACTTCTCAGCGTAGGTAAAGGGTCAACCGTCTTTTTATTTTTGTGCGGGAATGTGACGCTTAACCCATCCAACTTCTCCACTAGTTCTTTTACACTGCCCCGGAATTCACTCCCAGATCTTGGGATTGGATCCAGGCCCGCCTTGGCCGCCGAGATAATCAGCGAGCCTAGCATTGTCATGGCGCATAGCGAGCAGCAATCATATTTTGCTTTCTTCAGTACACTGATAAGCAGGTCAAGCGGCGAGAGGATAGTCGTAAGCAGCTGCAAGCGAAGGGCGGCAATGTGATCTGCTCCTTGTATTAGCGACAGGTGTAAGGACTCTATTATAATCTAATCTCATAGTGGTCGAACCTAGGATATCATGAGGACGAAGGGCATCAAATCTCGCATCGTCCAAGTACCACCCCTTTGGCGTAACTAATCTCCCGTCTGTGTCAACTGTGCATCTCATGACCAGCATATCCGCTGTCACGACGAACATAGTCGCATCGCCTAACCCCCATGCAATCCACATCAGCAATGGGTTGTTTGTATTTCGGACGCAGCTCATCCATTGACGGGCCCACGGACGAGTCATTTCAGTGATATCATATTTCTCGGTAAGGACGAGGATGTGGTACAGTTCCAACACAGTCAGTTTCTCAGGGACCAAGGAAAATCGGCTGTGGATGATATTCAAAACGATTAGCATTGGTTTGGGCATGTCCTCTGGCAGGGTAACAACCCATTCCGTGTTGGTATTCATGGGCTTGGATTCCGCGAAACCTCCAGACAGCATCTTCTTCCAGACGGTGGAAGTGCGCTCCATGGTCTTGGAGCAAACAATGTAGTTCTGTTGCTCTGGGCCGACTTGCAGACGAAGGTCTCCGCTGCTGTCTAGGTGTATGGTAGTATTGATTGATGTGACCTGGTCCGGGACTGAGAGCGCCATTCTGTTGTTACTAGCCACGGCCGGAGTCTTTCTAGCTAATAATGTCCTTTAGTATCCGATGTCGTACGAGCGTTGACTTTGTTGGCGGATTTCTTGGCCAACCAGCCCACGTGCAAGCCTGACAATGCCCAACACGTGAAGAAGTAAGGTTACCTTGAGATCCAGAGGACAAATAGGCAGAAGTGAACCATGTACCAGGTCAACCGATCAACCGGGTAAAAACACACGTCACGTAACAACAGAGAGATTTCTAGAACTATGGTATTTTCTAGAAGAGAGGCGTGAAGCTCGTAGAAGCTTGGGAGCGAGGCTAAAATACTCCTTAGCGCGATAATTAAGCGAAATGCGTGCCTGAGGCTTAAGCGAATTTCCCCCTTCACAACCTACAGATGCCATCGGGATCATTGTGCTCGGGGCCGTTTTTTCGCCCCACAATACGCGCTAAAAATTTCCGAAAATAGAAAAAAAGGCAGGTGGGTCCTAACCGGTTACGGACCGGTACCGGCTACCAAGACTTTGCTTTTCCTCTTATAGCTACTTAAAATAATCTTGCTTTTAAAGCAAGATACTAATATAGGAGTAGTACTAGTTAGGGATTAGTCTATAACTAGCTAATAGTTAATAAAGAGCAGTATACTTTAACTTTAAAGCTAGATAATAGTAGGGTTACTTAAGAATTAGTTAATAACTAGTTATCTATTAATAAAGAACAGGGCTTTAATTTCAAAGCCAAATAGTAGTAAGACTAGTTAGAGACTAGTTTATAACTAGTATTTTAGTATTTTAAGTAATATATTTAATTTTAAGGCTAAATACTAATATAGGAAATAGCTAGTTATAAATTAGTTAATAACCGGTTCTGGCTTTAAATATAGTTCTAAGAATTATCTCTTAAAAGTTAAATTTCTTAATAAAAATAATAAGTCTTCTTTTTTTATAACCTCTTTCTCTTATAATCTTTCTTTTTTATAATAAAGAATTAACTTATCTTTAACTTAACTCTTAATAAAGAGTTTCTTAACTTAATAAGCTAATAGGCAAAAAACTATAAGAAAAGTAATCTATATAATTAACTAGTTAAAAACTAGTTATTTTATAATTACTAACTAGTTATAGGCTAACTAAACTATTACTAATACTCTGGAGTTCTCTTAATCTATATAATATCTTATATAGAAATCTAAAACTACTGAGTTAGCTATAAATAATATATAATATTAAATTTCTATACCTAAATATCCTAAGAGCTTACTAAATAGTATACTTTATATTATTAATATAAGGAGTTATATAAAAGTAAAGATTAAAGTAATATATAGAAATATAAGTTATTATTTTATAACCGATTAATAACTGGTTATTAATTACTTCTAGATTTAATATAGTAAATAAAAGCTAAATTATCGGAATATAAAAAGTAATTTCCTTAATAATATAATAATATATTTAATAAGGTTTTAATATACTAGTATAAAAATCTATTTATATCTTTATTTATAATTATAAGACTTTTCTAATTATACTAAGATTAATAATATATAGTTTATATTACTTAAAGTAACTAGATAGTAACTAGTTATTAACTTATTATTATAAGCTCAAGATTCGGATATTTTTTAATTAATAGAAGAACTTTTCCTTATTTTATAAAAGAACTATTACGAAAACTAGCCTTATATACTATATAGAAGATATATAGGGAAGCCTATACTTTAAAGCTCTATAGATTTAGTAAGTTTCTAGTCTTTTACTAGTTTTTTACTAGTTACTAACTAGTCTAAGATTATAAGAGCTTCTTAATATAATATTAGTTACTTTAGATATTAGTCTAATAATAGTATTTATTATTATTAGAATAATTTTAAGATATTTTATATCTTTAATCTATCTTATCTTTAAACCTTATTTTTATATTATAATAAAGTATAAATATAATATTATATAATAATTAAGAAAATAAAAGTAATAAGAAAATTATATAATAAGTTAATTATCTAGTAATAAACCGGTTATTAACCGGTTAATAACTAATATATAACTAGTAGAGATTTATAAAACTAGTACGAGAAGCTATAAGAAGTATAAATATAATATTAATATGGCTTTTATAGTTCCTAAAAATATTAAAAATTATCCTTAGATATTTCTATTTACTAAAGGATCTTATATATATTTATTATTATCTCTAATAAAAATACTATAAGAGATTTTTTAAGTAATTACTATATTAATAAGGAAATATAATTTATTAATATTAACCTATAGTAAGTTAAGACTAGTTACTAACCGGTTATTTACTAGTAAAAAACTAGTTATATTAAAAATTCTTATTATAAGCGAATTTCTCAGAAGCCTATATATATTATAATTTCTTTAAGAATATAATGCTTTATTTATTTCTAATATTTATTTATCTTTAAATAATAATAACTTATAGTAATATTATATTTATATTTTACGAGTTTTAAAATATTTATAAAGAATGGATTTTATTAGTAAGTAGTTCCTAACTAGTTATAATCTAGAAAGAAACTAGTAATTAATTGGTTTTTAGGTATAATTTATAAATACTACTAATAATATTATATAAATAATATCTATATTTAAGAAATTATTAATAATACTAATAGAAATTAACTTATATATTATTTTACTTACTAGTAAGTAAAGAATTTTATTTAATTAAAGTTTATCTAAGTTAATATAACTTTTAAATATATTTATAGTAAGATAACTAAGATTATCTTTAGGTGCTATAATAATAATAGCCAAAAATATAAGTTCCTTAATTTAAACTAGTTTATTACTAGTTAGTAACTAGTTATTAACTAATTAGTATTTATAGTTATATGAATTTATATTAATAAAAATATAACTATAATATATAAAAAAGTATTCTTAATACTTTTCCGGAACTTATTTAAAGTTATAAAGTAATTAATTCAATTTTATTATATTTATTATATAGGGTTTTAAAATATATTAGCTAATATATATAAGAAGTAAATATATAGTAATCTTTCTTACTAAACCGGTTATAATCTAGTTAGTAACTGGTTACTAACTAGTTTAGGCCTTAAAGTATATCTTTATTCTTTTAATTCTTAATATATTTAGTAATAATATATTTCTTGTATTTTAATTTATTATTTAGTTTATTTTAAGTAAAATATTCGAATATTTTAAAGCTATCTATTATATTATAATATTAAGTTAATTTTAAGGCTAGAATCTTGTAAGGAAGTTTAATTACTTTTTAACTAGTTAAAGACTAATTCTAATAAAAAAGTCCGAAACTTTACTTACTAATATAATTACTAGTTAATTCTTAGTAGTCTTAATAAGTATTATAGCTTAATAAATTATAACTTATTTATTTCTATATAATATTATATTAATACCCTTAAATCTATCTATTAAAAAACAAATTAAATAGGTATTTATTAAAATTAGCTTAAAGTATTAAAAAGGTAATTAACTAGTTATTTTCTAATTAATAACCGGTTACTAACTAGTTTAGTATATAGTAAATTAATAGTCGAGAAATCAATTCGGTTATAACTTGGTTTATAACTAGAGTAAAGTATAGTTAGTATAATATAAGTTTTTCTAAATAAATATTTAATATAATTAAAAAAAGAGATTATTATATTTAAAAGCTTAATTTAAAAGCAGGTAAAGTATTAGCTATTTATATATATTTATTAGAAGAGGAAAATTCAGATTCTAAGGAGGCTTTATCTAGTTAATAACTAGTTAGTAGCTAGTTATTATTTCTTTTATTATATTATTTATTACTAAAATAAGGGAAATTACTAAGTTTTTTATAAATAAGAGATAAAAAAAAGTAAAAGTAATTATTATCTAGAATAAGACTAGTTAGGAACTAGTCTCTAACTAGTTTTATATAAGAGAAAAGTATAACTCGAAAGAAATAATAATAATAATAATAAATATTAATTAATAAAATATAAATAAAATTAAATAGTAATATTTAAAATTTAAATTAAATTATTTAGTTTTCTTTAAATTATATATAGAAATAGATAAAATAGATAAAGCTATATTTCTAATATATCTCGAGGAAACTAGTAAATAACTAGTTAGCTTCCGTTTCCTGCTTGAACTATTATCTAGTAATATTAGATTATTATAGAATAAAGGCTACTTAACTTATTATTAACTAGTTATTTCTTAAGTCGGTTTCGGTACTTTATCTAAAACTAATACTTATTTTGGGAATTCGGGAATTTCTAGAGAAGATATATCTAGTTATAGACTAGTTAGTAATACTAGTATAAGATCTTTATCTAGAACTAGAAAATAACTAGTTAGAGACTAGTTAGGTAAAGAGGATAAAGTACTAAGAAAAGACAAGAAGTAAGAGGTAATTAGCGGATCTTTATTCTAACCGACTAGTTATAAACCGGTTACTAACTAGTTAAGAGTAGAAGTATAAGGCCTTAAAACGGGTAGTAGGGTTCTATTAATAAGTAATTCGGAACTAGTATTACGTCGTAGATGATGAATGATGAAGGTCACGTTAGCGTAACATGACGTAAGCGATATCTTAGAAGTAGCGCTCCCCTTACGTAGTAATTGATCATCTTTCACACTTCACTCAATTCACTCCTCTTGTGTAACAAGTGGTAGCAATCGTCGGATTCGCACATATTGCGATACGACCTGGGAACCTCTTCATTTTGGCAGCGTTTCCGCCCATAATCCGACAACCCTGAAGGGTACGAGCCGTGCTCAATGACGAGTTCGACCTTCCCACAGGACTTCATCAACCTCGCTCATCAATTCAATCAGTTCCGAGCAACCGGCCATCGATTCGCAGAGAGAACGCAGACCATTGATGATATTATCGACCGCCTGGTCCTACAATATCCCGCTGCAGTCTCGAATACGACGCAAGGTGGTCGCCATAGCCGGTCAGCCTCGATCGACGAACTCGCAACTGCACAACAACCTTCTTACCCAGCCCCACCGAGTATATAGGCCATTGACAGATCCGCATTCAACGCCGCTATTAAGAAATTCGCCCTCCTCGCAGACAAATACTTCCCGCCGCAGAACGAAGATATAGCCAAAACCGGAAGGAGCGTTAAAAACAACGATCGCCACACCGAAACCAGTGCAGAGCCTCAACCAAGCCGCCAACCTTCGGAACCGAATAGTGATAGGACCGAAGAGATTCCTAGAATGAATAACAATGGCGGTAATGCGGCTGGCACAGCCCCAGTGCGAGAGCACCTTCTTTCCCCAGAAATGGCCACCGAAATAGCCGTACTCATTATACGAGCACTGGATGAATGCGACAGATACCAGAGACGCCAGTCGCTTGGCGGCAACGGAGCTGGAGCGAATAATGGAGGCAGTAGAGAAAATAATGGTTTCGATAATGGGAACCAGAGCTTCGGTAATGGATACGATATGGTTAATGCGAGCGGGATTTCCTTGAGGTGGAATCCAGAAGATATTGGTTTTTTCGAACCCGATAATTCCGCAAATGCAGAAGATTACGAATATCAAGGAAAGGCTACCGTCTGGAGAAATGTATATCTTTTCGTTAACGCCTTTCAATTCAATACACAAGGAGGACGTAAAAGCATCGTACGTACGAACTTGTATACTTGCCTACGTAGAGTGGCTCAGAGATGGTATACAGAGGAAATCGAAGAAACGACGAAACTCGCCTTTCAATTCGCACCGGAGGGAGTTATGTTGTGGGCAAAGCACTTAGTAGACCGCTTTAAAGACTCCGTACCCAAAGCAATGAAAAAGCTCCAAGACGAAAAATACACTATGGAAGACGCAAAGAAAGGTCGCAATATTCGCGGATATACAGTAATGATTATAAGATACGCAAAAGCCGCGGAAATGGACAAGCCATACCAACAGCTCTCTCATATATACAATAATCTCGACCCGGAGCTGCGACTGCATATCTCCGCCCCGGACGAGAAGACACTGGCGTCAGAATGGCTCAAGAACTTGGCCAATAAGCAGGAAGCATAGCAAGACATAATCGTAGCGAGACGTTCTCGTAACGCCTCGACTCGACCAGCCCTACGCTTCGATACCAGAGGTATAAATCCCAGATATCCGCGAAACGGTAACCGTCAGGGCACCACTTCCGGATTCCGCCCTTACCAACCCCGGCCGTGGCAACAGCCACGCCAGTTTCAACAAAGAGACGGTACTGATTATAAGCAGAATGCGAGACCCCTCCCACCGCCAAAACCCAGACATCTCCTTACCGCAGTATACAGAGAAGACAAAGAGAACAAGACTCGCTTCGACGAAGGGTACTCCAAGCGAGAGTACGACGGGCAACGGTTTCATCGATACCGCCGAAACGAGAAAGCTAACCTGGCGTCTGATTACGTCGATGTGCCAGAAGATTATAGAGACGAGTACGAAAAGGAGTTGGAAGACAGTGGATACGTTGCCGCAGAGGAGTTCACCTTCCCAGACTTCCCGGTAGATGATACGCAATCTCTACGAGACGAATTCTACTTAGCTATCTCCGATAATATCAAGTCCCGCACTTGCAGAAAGTGCAACGACGTTTTCTCGTCCTGTTCCCAAATGTTCAAACACGTTTACACCAATACTTGTAACAAAATGGAAGCCGGAACTGCAACGACTCCTGAAGCTGTAGAGCCCGTTACGGTGAAGGTTATTGAAGTAATCCCTCGTGAAGTCGGATACAAAGCAGACGAGATTTCTTATATGTATATGAAAATGCATGTACAATTCGGACCGGGGGGGCCCACGAAATCAACCTGTATCGATACGGGATGCACACGCCCCGTCGTAGGCCGGGAATGGCTGGAAGGCCACGAAGAGGTTTCGTATAACACCTCCCAATCCACATCCTTCAAAGGAATCCTAAATGAAGTTACACTTACGAAGCGAGCGATCTTCCCCATATACGTACTCGGTACGGCAAGTGGCCAGAGATGCTTGGGCAAGATTTTCGTTACGGCGTGGGTCATGGACCGACTGGAACCGGGCCTGCTTCTCGGCAACGAATTCCTTTGGCAGACATCCTCGATCATTAATTACCAGAACTCCACGGTCACAGTGGGTGCATGCGATAACCTTATCGTAGACGTTACGGTTCTCTATCGTGCCCCCAAGGTAGTATGCCGTGTTCTTGCAGCCAGAAAGGTTATTGTTCCCCCGAAGTCAAGGGTAATGATTCCAGTCCAGTATGTACCGGTTCCCGAAGACGGAACGTATTTCTTCCAAGGAAGCTATACGGGTGCAGAGGATGCGATTCTGAATCATGCCAACTTTGTTAGCGTGGTTAACGATACAGACGTTGCGACGACAATCTTGGCAAATATGAATCTGGGCCAATTAACGAACGTTGAGGACCAAGCCTTTTTTGGAGCTCCGAGTAACCAAGAAGGAACGGAGCCAACGATTCCACAAGAAACCGACCCGAACTCAGAAGAGCCTTGGCAGAATAAGCAATACAAGTTCGGCATTGACAAGCCACAAGACGTACCGGAGATTGTACACGAGAACGGCGTGCATATTTACAATAGAGATGTGCGGACGGCACATACCCTGTACGATATCGTTACCGAGTTCCGGGAATGTTGGACCGACAGAGGCCCAATCGACATGCCAGAGGAGGACTATATAAGGATCCCCCTTGTCGAAGGCTGGCAGAACGAGAAGATTACATCGAAAAAGTTCCCCTTGAGTCATAAATACAAGAAGATTGTCGATAACATCTTTGACGGGTTATACCAACGAGACCGAATGGAATGGGTTCACGGACCGACCCCCTTCGCCTCACCGGTATTCGTCGTTATAAAGGAACGTCCTGTTATTGACCTCCGTATTGTGAACAAATTGGCCATCCCGGATACGTACCCGCTGCCATTGCAATCAGACTTGATTGAAGCGTTACGAGGAAAGGGGGCAATCTCTGTCATCGATGGCTCCCAATTCTTTTACCAATTCCTTGTTGCGAGAGAGCATCGAGATCGCTTTACAATTGTTAGCCATCGCGGCTTGGAACGCTCAAAGGTCGTACTTATGGGTTTCCGAAACTCTGTCCAACATGTTCAACGATTTATGGATAAGCAGCTACGTAACCATGCCGGCTTCGCCAGGAACTTTATTGACGACATCGTCATTTTCTCGGATACAATAGAGCAGTACCTCCAACACCTTCGTATTATTCTCGAGCTATTTGCCGAACTACGGTTGTTCCTGTCAGCAAAAAAGTCCTTTATAGGATACCCGTCCGTGAAATTATTGGGCCATCTAGTAGATGCATTTGGAATGGCAACGATACAGGAGCGAGTTTCAGCATTCAAGGAACTCACCTTTCCCATTACGTTGCAAGCCCTGGAACAGTACATTGGAATGACCGGATGGTTACGAGCGTACCTTCCAAGCTATGCCCATATGGTCGAACCAATGCAGGAGCGAAAGACTCAGCTGCTGGAAGCTGGACGGAAAATCGGTGCTGTAGGAGGGAAGCGAAAAGGCTACTGTGCCAGGACGAAATACGAGCCCACAACCCAGGAGCTTGCAGCGTTCGAAAAGCTGCAAAGCATGCTCACAGTCCCCAGGTTCCTGGTCCATTTCTCGCCCGACAGAGTCCTCTTGCTCAATTCAGATGCGTCACAGGAACGAGGGTTCTCCGTCATGGCTTTTCATTTGACACCCGGATCAGTACTAGCAGACGTTATCAAGAAGCTGTCAGCATCGCGTATTCAGCCAATCCTCTTCATAAGCAAGGCGTTAAGTGCAGCAGAGAAACGATACCACGCAACGGAATTAGAGGTTGCGTGCCTGGTATGGACTTGTCGCAAGCTCCGACCTATGATCCAATCTAGCACGAACCCGGTAGTTGTCCTTACCGACCATAGGGCCACGAGAGGAATTTACGATCGAACAAGCTTGAATACTTCCGATGTAACAAAAGCCAATATGAGATTGGTCCACGCTTCGGTATATCTCAGTCAGTTCGACTTAGACATCCGTCACTACCCGGGACGCTTGAACATCGTACCGGATGCGCTATCGCGCCTCGATGCTACCGAGAAGGCCGATATCTCAAACGATAACGAGCTTGAACATATTATGTTCGCTGCCGAGATAGTAATCGACCCGGAATTTAAGCAAAAGCTCGTTACCGGCCTCTGGGAGGATTCGAAATTCGCAAGAGCCTTGGAGACGCTGGGCATAAAGAAGGATGATATGCCGGAAGAACTACTGAAAGTTAACGCTCCTTTCCAAGTAAAAGGAGGCCTTCTTTACCATGTTATCGGTAACCGATTCCGACTTTGTATACCCAAAGGAGCAGTGAAAGACATCTTGCATCTGGCCCACGATAAGTTCCATTTCGGTACGGAACGAACCTTATACGAGCTGGACGACTTCTGCATTCCACGATTAACGAAACACCTCGAAGATTATATCACGCACTGTCCAGCTTGTCTCCTTAATAGAATGTCAAGACAACGTCCCTACGGAGAACTGCAGCCGATTCGGACACCCCTGATTCCGTACCATACCGTGGCAATGGACTTCATCCTGGCGCTTCCCGTTATCCCAGCCGTTAGCCCTTGGAAGATTGACGGTTTCGATACCTTTGATTGTATAATGACGCAATCATGCAAAGCCAGCAAGAAAACGTTATTGATACCAGGGAACAGCGAGTACGGAGCAGAGGAATGGGCCACTATCTCTGTGACAATGTGGTTACTTTGCGACTGGGGAATCCCCAAGGGCTTGATATCAGACCGTGATAGGAAATTCATCTCTGACTTCTGGAAACGTGCTTTTGCAGCGTTAGGCACGAAACTGCTCATGTCAACCGCTTGGCACCCCCAGACAGACGGGGCCTCGGAACGAAAGAATCAAACCGTCGAGATTGGCTTTCGATATCAGATTACAATGCACCCGTTCCTAGAATGGTCAAGCTTCGTAATCCCGTTCCAAGCCGGGCTAAACAACGCATATACAGCAGCCATTCAGACATCTCCAAATGAGTTCGTTGGGGGCTTCAAACCGGCAACAAACCTGACACTGCTTACGGCCGAGACCCAACAGGAACCACCCGAGATCATTCGCAAGCTACGTCAACGGGACGCTGAGGTCGCCATCGACTTCGCAAACGACGCGGCCAGGAAGTACTATAATGCGAAACACAAGCCAATTATAATGGATATCGGCGACTGGGCGTTCTTGAGACTTCATCGAGGATATCACCTTCCCGGTAACCCGAATAGGAAACTATCAGAACAAAGAACAGGTCCGTTTCGTATCCTCCGTCGAGTAGGAAAGCTTGCATACGAATTGGAATTACCAATCGGCTGGAAAATTCATCCCGTTGTCTCGGTAGCGCACTTGCAACCAGCACCAAAGGGCCCTGACCCATTTGGTAGAGAACCCGTCGAAGGCATGCAACCCATAGAGGGCGTTGAGGGAGATGACGAAGACTGGAAGAGCTGGGAGCTGGAGCGTATAGTCGACAAGAGATATACTCGTTATGGCGGCAAGGAGAATCTGGAATATCTCATCAAGTACCTGGGTTGGGGTAACGAACACAACCAGTGGTTTCCCGTCGAGCTGCTAGGAAACGCGAAAGAACTGGTCCAGGAGTACGAGACTAGACTGGCAACGAAGCCAGCCTCTTGTCGTCGCGGTCGCACCAGAAAATGACAACGACAGCAAGACGTGCATTATTACCGAACATCCTTTTCCTTGCAAACGCTATGCGATATCACTGTTCTCGTTACGAGACAACTAGACCCAATTCGGCAATCTGTTATGACCCCTCGCGAAAACGAGGCCATCCGTACGAGTGATTTTTGCTATCTACCAACTCACCTTGCATATTGCAACTCACGAGCACACCCCAATACTCTCTCCTTCCATTATCAAACCAGAACCCCATACGATCCCGAACAACAACGTAGTTATACCCTAACCGCAAACATGAGTAGTAGCCCAGCTACTACGCAGAACTCGCCGACCCCGGCCAAGCTCTCATCATCGGCGCTATACCGTCGCATTAACGACAAATTGAAGTCCGGTCTCATACCCAAGTTAGCGGATATCGAAGAGTACTTCAGCCTTTACGGCGACCCCATCGAGCACATTTCCCTCGGCAAGCATTACAAGCTGAACGCCGATGCAAAGGCCCAACTCGACCGAATCCGCGAACGCTTGTACGCTCCTACTACAATGAACGCTCCCGCTACGATGAACGCTCCCACCGCAATGAACCCGGCACCGGCACCCATATACGACGCCCCTGTAACGAGATCGAACAAACGCAAGGAGAGCGGTCACGTTAACGTCGAGCAACCGAACCCCAAGAAGCGGGGACCAGGCCGACCCCCAAAGGCTGGGACCAAGGTTAACGACGAGCTACTCCAAAAGACGAAGCAGACGGCTCAACAAATCCTCGACGCGAACACGCAACTCGCCACTTACGCAGAAGAGGCGTTTCGGGTTGGCCGGAACATGCTGTCTGTCTATAACATGCTAGCTGACGATATGGATGGTCTTATTAGTGTAGTGGAGAATGGAGAGCACGGCAATGATATTAAGGAGCTTATCCGCAAAATCCGAAAGACTCGTTACGATACCGCTGTTGATAGTATCACACCTCTTTTCACGAAGAGAGACGGACTCCCTTCTCTATGCGAACCCTTGTTTGTTCAGCTTAGCATTGATAACAAGACTGCCGTTGAGGTACGCAATTGGGCTTTATACAAACTCGTACTTGAGCAGGATGATGAGGTTTCGGTGGAGCAGCGAGATGCAGTCACGGAAGATCGACAGGTTATAATACGTCGTCGGGACGCAGTCAAAGTTATACCGCATCGTTCCCCATCGACCCCTGACGAGCCACACCGTTCCCCTTCGACCCCTGGAGAGAGCGACGACGACGACTATGATGACGATGAGGATATCCCAGCCAAGAAGCGACCGTCCGGTCGACGAGCCCGACGCAGCGCCGCCGTCGAGGATACGGAGCAAGAGGCCGTCAAGGATACGGAGCAGGAGACCATCGAGACAGTCAAGGATACGAAAGTCGTCGTCCCAAAGCGTAAACGTTTTGAAGTACCACCAGGATACATCAAGACGGCAAAGGGCAAGTTTAAGGACGAAACCACGAAGAAAGTATACGATATTCCCCCGGGCTTTGCATTGACGCAAGAGGGCTTGTTCGTAGAGGATTCGGGAGAGGAGGAGTAAGCGTATATATACCCTACCAAGTCATCCCAAACCTCTTTTGGGAGACTACTACGATGCTTTTACGCCTACAATTTATATATATGCCATACAAAACTTCCTCTGGTCTTCGGTGATTGGAGCGTACTGGCAACTCATAACCTCGTATCCCTGGTCTTTGGTGATTGGACGGATACATTTACGATACCTGGTTGTGTCTCTGGTCTTCGGTGATCTTGGGGGCGCAATTACACAATACCCGCGATGGCTAGGCTCTGGTCTTGAGTGATCGGGAGGATAGCGGAACTCGTCGCAGCGGTTCTTTTTGTTTGATTAGCCACCCTTTCTTAGCGTTTGTTTTGTTTTTTATTTTTTATTATTGTAACGAGGACGTTGCTAGCATCTTCGGTGGCGGCAATTGTTACGTCGTAGATGATGAATGATGAAGGTCACGTTAGCGTAACATGACGTAAGCGATATCTTAGAAGTAGCGCTCCCCTTACGTAGCAATTGATCATCTTTCACACTTTACTCAATTCACTCCTCTTGTGTAACAACTAGTTATTAACTAGTCGGGAATAGGATTTAGGAAAGCGGGAATAAGAAGAATAGAAGAGGCAGGGGCTATATCTAGTAATTTCTTTTAATTAACTAGTTTAGAACCGGTTATTAACTAGTTAGAAATAGAAGCCAGGGAAATAAGAACAGGAAAAATAGAGGAAGTAGGGGCTATATCTAGTAACTTCTTCTAGTTAACCGGTTTAGAACTAGTTATTAACTAGTTTAAATAAAACTCTAATAATCTTAAATTAAATAAAGTAATAAGTTTTAAACCGGCTAAAGACTAATTAGAGGCCTTTATCTTTAATACTACCTCTTATAAATATTTATTCTAAAAACTTCTATATTATTATTAGTTATAAATAGAATTTTATATTTATATAATAACTTATTATATATTAATAAGCTGATTTTATATAGCGAGAAGTTAATATTTCTTTTTTCTAGTATCTTAAATTATAAACTCGAAGTCTTTTATAATATAATACTTTATATACTTATAAAAATTACTTATAGTTAGCTATTATCTAAAGAATTAGATATAGAATATTATATAATTATTAACTAGTCCGTAACCGGTTATTAACTAGTTAAAAGTAGGGTAAATATACTTTAGATCTTATATTATTATTAGGTATTACTAGTAATATTATTTATATATATAAATTATATAATTTTTCTCTAATAGTAAAGAAAGTTATATATAAGGCAAATAAGCTTATTAATAGTAAGATAAAGCTATAGTAATTTTTATTAAAAAATACTTATAGAATAATAAGGGGAAAGAGAGATATAAGAAGAGAAAATTATAATTATAATATATTCCGGGTTTAAAATAAGAATTAGCTAAGTTATATCTACTAAATTTAGCTTAGATTTAGACTAGTTAATAACTAGAAAGAAGGCGGCCCGCTTATATTAGTTAAAAACTAGTTAATAACTAGTTTTAGATAGGTCAGAGAAAATTAAAATTAAAATTATTTAAAAATTAGAAGTTTATTAGTAAAAAAGGTTTTTATTAACTAAAAACCAAAAAAACCTTCTCTAAATAAAGAATACTAGATACTAAGTAGTTATAAACCGGTCTCTAACTAGTTATTTATTATTATTAAGGATAATGGAATTATTAGAAATATTAGTACTATAACTAGTTAGTAATTAGTTAAAAATTAGTTAAGCTTAGGAACTTATAACTTTAGTAGTAGTAGTAGCTTATTTATCTTTTTCTTCTTACTATAACCGGTTATTAACTAGTTAGAGAGTAGTTAAGAAATACTTATACTTTAATAATAGCTTAAACCTTATCTTAAAGGAATTAGAGAATTTTGCTATAACTAGTAAGAGACTAGTTTATAAAGAGTTAGGAACTACTTATAAATTAGATACTTTATTACTATTATTTTTAAAGAAGTAGGAGGAATTATACTTGGTAAGACTAGTTAGTAACTAGTTATCTATTATCTTAGGGAAGCGGCAGTAACTAGTTAGTAACTTATTACTAGTAAGCTTATACTTTTTAAGACTAGTTATTAATTAGTTACTAACTAGTTATTAACCAGAATACTTACTTGCTTATTAGTTCTTTCTTATACTTAGAAGAAGTAATGAATTCTTCCTTAGTCTTATTTATATAAGTCTATAACTAGTTAATAACTGGTTAAGAACTAGTTAGTAATTAACTAATAGTAATATACTTATATAGAATTAAGGCATTATTTATTTTCTTATTATATATATTATATATATTTTATAACTAGTTAGTAACTAGTTAAGAACTAGTTTTACTAATTTATCTTATAAGAGTTAATAATAAGTTTCTTAAAAGAAACCTAGTCTATAATATATTAGTAATTAGTAGTAAACTAGTTAGAATCTGGCTTATTATATTATTCGTATATTATAACTTTATAAGTAGGGTTCTTATTATAAGCTACTAGTTAGTAACTAGTTAGTATCTAGTTAGGTAGTAGTTAGTTACTAATTACTTACTTATAAATAACCGGATATAGGGGAAAAAAAAAAGAAAGAAAGGAAAATAAGAGAGCCTTAAAATATACCGGTTAGTAATTAATTAGTAATCTAAAACCTTAAATTTTGGCTAAGCCTAATTGGGCGACCGGTTAATAGCTAGTAAGTAACTACTTTATATAGGCCCTAGTAATCTGGAACCTTAAATTTTAGCTAAGCCTAATTAGGTAACTAGTTAATAGCTAGTAAGTAACTAGAGCCCTATATATAAATATATAAGGCTAAAACTAATTTAATAACTAGATAATAACTAGTTAATAACCGGGAGCTAGCCTATAAAGATTAGAGAAGATCTAAGTACTAGTAAGAAAGAGTATATAAGAGGCCTCTAGCCTTTATTTTACTTTTCTTTTTATTAAGTATTTTTTAATTTCTTTTATAATATTTTTTAAATTATATATTATAATTAATTATTTAATTTTTAATTTATATAATATTTTTAAAATATTTTTAAAATAATTAATAATTAATATAAATATTATAAATAATTATATTTTTAATTTTTAATTTTATTATATAACTAATTTCTAAAATTAATATATATTTTAAGTAAATATATATTCTAAATTTTTAGCTTATCTTAAACTTAATTAATTAATTATTAAATAATTATATTATTAATTAGTCTAAAATTAAAGATATAAAATAATTAAACTAGATATATTAAGTTAGCTAATTAGAATTTTTTATTTTTTTTAAGATATTATAGTAAAATAATTTCTTTTTTTAATTAGGATATTTATATTATTTTCTTTTATAATTACTATTTTCTAAGCTTCTAAATTTAATAAAATTAAAGACTTTATCCTTAATATTATTATAGAAAATAGTTTAGCTTTCTTAGTAATATTTCTAGTTATTATAGCTATTTTTCTTATTATTATTCTTTCTAAAATCTCTATTTTATATTTCTTTCTTTTTATTTTATTATTAATTTCTTTTTATTTTACTTTTCTTATTTTCTTTATTTTCTTTTCTTATTTTTCTAAGATATTTTTTATTATTTTTATAATCTTTATATCTTTTTTTACTTTTAACTTATCTAATTTATCTTATTTTGCTTTTATAATTTTTATTTCCTTAAATACTATTATAGCTAATATTTTAGCTATTCTAAAGAACTAAGCCTTTCCTAAAAACTCTCTTATTAAATTAAGCTTTTTCCTTTAATATTTCTTTTTTTTTTAAGCTATAAAGCTTTTTTTAAACTCTTTATATAATATTTTATAATAGAAGCCTTTATTATATTTGACTTATTTATTTTAATAAGCTTATAAAAGGCTACTTTAGATAAGTTCTTTATATAGATTTTTAAGAATTATTATATATATTTTATAATATAAGAAATTATAATTATATTAAGAAAAGCTTTTAGAAAAGTTTATAGCTTTAATAAAATAATAGCTAAAAGAATAATTAATAATTAGTATAATTATATATCTATTTTCTTTTAAATAAATAAAATATTTAATTTAGATATATTTTTATTCTAAATAAGCTTAAAAATAAACTAAAATATTCTTTTTATTAAAGAAGAAATACTTTTACTAGTATATAAAAGCCTATTAATTTTAGTAAAATAATAAATAAAAAATAATAAAAAGTAACTTATATTAAGAAATTAAAAATAATATATTAAATATAAAAATAAAATAAAAAGTAAAATTTTAAGGTAATTATATATTTATATAAATTTTATATTAATATAGCTAGAATATTTATTTATAATTAAAAGCCTTTTTTTATATTTTATTTTTATATAAGTAATAAAATTAAAAATTCTAAATAAGATATATTATACTAAAAATATTAGATAATTATTTATTTATACTAAATATAAATTAGATATATTTTCTTTTTTTTAAATTATTTAATTAGCTATTTTAAAGATTTCTAAAGATTTCTTTATAAATAAAAGTTAGTAAAATCTTTATATTATTTATATAAATAAAAGTAAGTAAGCTAATAAATTATTATAATTTTTCTATTATTATATACTTGTTTTATTATTATATATTTTATTATATATATAATTTTAATTAAAAGATCTTTCTTATTCTAATTATATATATTTTTTATTATAATATTATAATTCTTAATTATTTTAATTAATTAAATAAAAAAAAGAATATTAGTTATTTTATTTATAAAATAAGTAAGAAATAAATAAAATAATAAAATTAAATATTATTAGATTAAAAGAAACTAAATATAGGACCTATATTCTAATTTTATTTATAAATTATTAATATTTTATAAATAAAGGCTTTTAAAATATATAAAATAGTATTAAATAAAACTAGCTATTTAGTTTTTATTTATATTATTTTTAATAATTTTCTCTATAAGGTTTTTAATAATTTATAAGATTAGAAAAAGCCTATATATTATAAGCTTATTAATTTAATTAATAAGAGCCTTTTCTTATATATTAATAAGAAATTTATAATATAGAAAAATTATTTCTTATTTAGAAATATATATTTCTTTATATTTTTATATAAAAATAATATATTTAATACTAAAATCTCTAGTAATCTAGTTATAATTAAATATTAATTATATATTTAGTATATTAATTACTTTTTTAATATTTTATTTACTAACTATTTTATTAAATTTTAAAGATAATAAAATAATTTTTAGGAAAATATATATTTAATATAAATATATATTAATCTTAAATTTTAGTTAAATTAAATTTCTTTATTTTAAAAAACTTTTTAATATTATTATTTAATATAAAAATAATTATATTATTATATTATTATTTTAAAATAAAATGAAATAAAATAATAATATTATAATATTTATATAAAATTCTTTAATATAATAATATATATAATAAAATTATAATATTAATATTATTATAAATATTTTATTTATTATTATTAAAGAAAATATATAATATATATAAATAAATAAAAATATTTTAAAAAAAATTAATTTTATTAATTTTTATAATTTTTATAAAAAGTAAATATCTAGAATTATTTATTTTTAAAACTTTTATATTATTTTTATTATAATTAGTTTTTTTAATATATATATAAAAATATTTATATAAATATTTATAATTTATTTAAAAATTCTAAATTTTAATATTAAAATTTAAATAAATAAAATATTATTATTTTAAATATTATAATAAATAAATATTTTTAAAAAATATATAAGGCTATTTAATAATTAATTAATAACTTATATTAATTATAATATAAACTTATACTTATTTTATAAAATATTAAATTTTTATATAATAAAATTATTTTTATTAAAGCTTTCTAATATATTAATATATAATTTTAATTAGCTTATTAATAAGCTTTAAAATATATTAAAATAAATAAACTATAATATTAATATAAAAGCCTTTAAATATTTTATAAAATATTAGAAATATAACTAATTATTTAAATATTTTAATTTTAATTTAAAAATTAATATTAGCTTTAATTATTTTATTATTATTAATATTTCTATATTATTAATAAATTTATATTTAATATTAAGCTAGCTAATAGCTTTTAAATATTAATATAATATATATTTAAAATATATTTAAATAATATTAAATAAATAATTATTTAGGCTTTTTTAATTAGATTATAATAAATATTAAAAAATAAATTATTAATATAAAATTTATTTAACTTATAAAAATTATAAATATAAAAATTAAAACTATTTTTATAAAAGCTTATAATTTTATTAAAATTATAAAATATTATTATAAAATAATCTAATATATTAATTTTATTATTATAGCTAAAATTAATAAAAATTAATAAAAAATATTATATTTTAAATAGTTTTTAAAACTATTAATAATTTTATAAAACTTAATAATATTATTTTAAATAATTAAATATAATATTTTATAAAATATATTTTATTTAAATTAGTTATTAAAATATATTAATTAATTTAATTTAAAAAGCTTTTATATTTTCTTTCTTTTATAATTCTAGTACTTATATAATTTTAAGTATAATACTTATACTAGTTATTAACCGGTTAAGATTTACTTATAATTTTAAAAAGCTTTTATACTTTAATACTCTTATAATTCCAGTGCTTCTATAATTTCAAGTATAGTGCTTATACTGGTCCGTAACCGGTTAGGACCCACCTGCCTTTTTTTCCATTTTCGGAAAATTTTAGCGCGCATTGTGGGGCGAAAAAACGGCCCCGAGCTCATATTACCGGATGCCATCGTATCTGGACTAATCAAGACAAAGCACGTGACATTCGGCTTCGAACTAAAATACAGCATATTGTCCTTTGATTGACATATAGCAGAGGCTTTAACCAGCAACCTCATCGTGACAGATTGGTCGTTGGGGAACAGACACAGTTAAGCCTTTTCTAGACCATTGCAGTATTCAAGGGAAATCCAACATGGCCGTCAAAACTATCCCAATTGCGAGAAAACAAACCCTTCAAATCGGCATCCTTGAGAAGCTTACAGTCTGCTTTGTGGTCTTTCTCATTCCAGCCAGCGCTCTGGCACGACTTATTGTAATAAGGTCAGCATCTCAATCAAAGAGGACGGGCTCAGATGGCCGGCTTACTCCGTTGCAGTACCAGAAAAGCGAGCACTTGGCACACTTCTTCAATGAGGCCGCCTGCGTATCGCACCCCTGACATGTTCTTGTACAGTAAAGTTCAAAATCAGCTTCAGTTCTCAACTCTCAGTGATTTTATTTTTGACGCATATTCTCTGCTATACTAACCCTATGCGGCTAGCCCAATCCAGAGCCCTACACTCGCTTAATTTCATATCCGGGGTGTCACGTGGTATTTTTGCCCAAGGACTCACCTGACTGAAGGCACATTCTAGATCCTTAATTATCCACTTTGTGCTTTGTGAATAGTTCTGGACTTGAAGAGAGTGATATTTTGATGGTACAGCATTTTTAGAGTTGTGATGATATTGAGGATCGATATTCCGTTTGTTAAGATATTGATTGGTCGCTTTCGCTACATTTCATGTCACACAACATTTGCTGTCAGCACTACACCTTTCCGTTTCCCGAAAACCTTAATAGTCGGACTTAACGTCGCGACTAAAGGGGCCCAACCCTTTAGTCGGGGAAAGCAAGTTGTCCCGGGAAAGCAAGATGTCCCGCACCACACCAAAATTTCTATGCGATCGCAGACACTTGAATTACACCACACAACCAAATAACCCTTAAATTAATGCGCAATTGAGGATATAATCTCTTATTACTCTAATGCTATAAAATCTGCATTTTGAGCTATTGAATTAGTCGATATTACTGATCTAGGTGGTAAAGAATACAGAACTGCCTTCTCCCCACTAACCCCACCATTTATTCCCTCTCTTGCCTCCTCTATCTCCCCATTTGATCCCTCAGTTCCCTCTAATATTGCCCGTATATATAATTAACTAAAAGGGTTCCCCTTTGCTCGGTGGGCTTGCTCAGATACGAGTATTGCAGGATCGATAGGAATATCTGTAAAGATTTCGGGGTCCTCCGCTTGCACATGATCGAATTCAGCTTGCTCCTTAGCTACCCTATCGTAAAGCAATTGGTGCTTAATTCGAATAGCTTCAAGCTCGTTTTCCGTAGGTTCGTTCTGGGGATCGCGAATTGGTATTAGGAGTTCGGGAGGGATAATCGTATTAATTCCAAGAACCTGCTTCTTTGCTTGTGCCTCCAGTTCCCTCACTCTCTTCTTCCTCTCTCTCTCTGCCGCTCGTGCGGCGATTCCGATTCTTTTAAGAGCTTCCCTCTCAGCTGATTCGGCCTTTGCAAGCTGTTTCTTTGCCTTCTTGAGCTCCTCCTCTGCTACCTTCCTTACTTTAATCTTCTTCTTTGCCAGAGTATTAGAAGCGTTCATCCACCCCCCCTTTTGAAAACTAAGCCGTGCATTTAGCTTAGCCTTATGACGATTAACCTGTACCTTGCAAGCGTTCTGGGCATCTAGCTCTTGTAAACTTCCAAGCATTAGGTGATTCTTGGTAGCCTTGATTATAACTGCATACTCTTTGCGAGGGGAAGAGCTTAAAGCGTCTAGAATCTTGTCGTTGAGATTATCGAGGCGTAGAACGTATTCGTTATATGAAGATGGAGGTTTTGGGAGGGTAGGTAATTGGTATGTTGCTTCCAATTCGTGAACAGGAGGAGGTATAGGAATTAGTGGGGTTTCTGCTTCCGCTTTAGTATCTAAATCAGATCCAAATTCCAGATTCTCTAAGCCAGTGTCTTTCCTTCTCTTTTTCCCATATTCCTTGAGCTTCCTTCGTATGGCTTTAAAGCTGACAGGCCAGATTCCTGCGTTCTGAAAGGCGTGTTTAATTATACGAACCGTAAATGTTTTCTCTCGTATTCCAGGGAGATCGCGAAAGAAGCACTAAATATTATATTCCGGCTCGTACGAGCGAATCGCATTCATAATATTGACCTGTTAGTAGTGTTTCTATTCCCTAAAGATGCCAATATTACATGGTTAAAGGAGGTGCGTTTGGTGGGAAGGGAATTATATGATTCGTATCTTATTATATGTAGCTTTTAAGACAAAATCGTCCGCTTGGTGGCAAGTTGCTCCGTTAATTAAGAGAATATGCTACTCCTTATTAGGCCCGCAATCGTTATGCTTAATAAAATGGTCTAGCCAAACCATATAGATCCCCTCGTTTGTATATCCTGTGGGAGAGACTGTAATAACCTCGTGGCCGGTTATATTTTCGTGGAACCAGGAAACCATAATCATGACTCCAGGTATAATTACTACCGGAGGAATTGCCTTGCCATTTGTAGATATACACTCAATTATTATAAGAGACATGCGATTCTCTGGTATTCCCGTATATATCTCTTTGATTCCAATTGGTATAATAACCTCCTCTCCTGCAGGCATACAAATTCGTGCTCCTTTCTCGTCCATATTATATATCCGGTCCCCATAGCATATACCAGTTTCCTCTAATGCCGGACGATATTCAGTCTTAAACCAATCGCATAGGCTCTGTTCGGTATGGAGATTAATACGGTGGCTCGCAATGGGCTTTGTCTTAATTATATGGAGTTCTGGAGTGCTCTTTAGCTATTAAGAGAACTATTTCCAAGATAGAGCTGTCCTATTATCCTCCGTTCGTATCCATATCGCGCAGTTATATATTATTTGCTTTGTGGCTCCTTTCCCTCCATTAATCGCGTGCGATACCGCGTATTGAATCAATGCCTCGTATTAATCAGGACGTAGGATCTTATTGTGCCCCCCCTATTATCCGCTCACTATTCCCATCTTCTTCCTCTCTCTCTGCCATGCTTTCTTTACTATATCTTCATTTCGTACGCAATACGCGCGTACCGCAGTCGCAGGAGTCTCTTCTGGGTTGGCTTTAAGGAACTGAATAGCCTTACGGAGCTTATCCTTCTCTGGCATATTACGGAGAAGCGTATTTTTGGGGAGGTTACTTAGGCGAGCCATCGCTATTGAATTTGAGTGATTTTCAGGAAAATTTGGGCTGGTGGTAATCAAATTGATTGATTTTTACTATGGGTATTCCATACAAATTGGAAATTTTGGCGATTGGTGCGGGACATCTTGCTTTCCCGGGACAACTTGCTTTCCCCGACTAAAGGGTTGGGCCCCTTTAGTCGCGACGTTAAGTCCGACTATTAAGCCTTAATAGATGATTCCTGTTTCAAAGTCAACTTTCTATTTATGAAGTTACCAACCTTTTTTGGCATTGCCAGCACAAGTACTCAAATACCCTTGACCAATCCAAATCGAGAGTGCCTTTTCGACCTTGCTTCTATATTAAACTCAAAATCGTATATCTCTATGAAGGCAATACGGTTGGGCCTTGCCGCCTAAAACAAAGGTGCGCAAACTGCACACGATTCACAACTCGCTTCGAAATGTCAAGCACAAATAAAAATGAGTTGTTAAACGCATTCGGCTCTCATTATACCCAGAGACAATTTGAGCTTGCATCAACTGAGAATGGTCCAGAGATCGGCACGGAAAACGAAATTCGCATGTGGGCCTCGACCAAGAAGATCCCAGTAGCAACCAGAGGCGATGACAAGGGCAAGCTTTATAGACCCTTCGTCGACCCGTATGAGATCCGTGTGCTTGAGATCAAGCCGGGAGCCAACAGCGATAAACTACAAGGCTCACTGCATCATTGCTCAGTCGAGTTCGAGAGCGAGCCCAAGGATTTTTTTGCTTTCAAAGGCGAAATTCTTATGGAACCCAGACGAGCGCGACTCACCTACAAGCACTTGACCATGTACGCCCTTTCCATAGACAATCTTACTACCCCGGTTTTTTATACGGCGCTTAGTTATACCTGGGGCGCACAGATTTTCGATGGAACTATCGAGTGCGACGGCCACCAGAAAGCGATTACCAAGTCTCTCGAGGCAGCATTATGGAATTTCCGGAAGCCAGACCGGTCTGCGGTCATGTGGATTGATCAAATCTGCATAGACCAAGAAAATAGTATGGAAAAGGAAAAGCAAATCCCCATGATGGGAAAAATTTATCAGCATGCGTGGAATACAGTGATTTGGCTAGGGGAATCGAGTCCTGGTTCTGACTCTGCAATCCAGCTCCTAGAAGACGCCAGTGTCCGCTTACAGCTCAGAATGGACGACATCGATCCCACCGACTTCGAGCGACTCGGGCTACCGAAGCCCGACTCAGAGATTTGGCATGCCCTGTGGAATTTGCTCTCGCGACCGTGGTTCACGCGGCTCTGGATCATCCAGGAGGTCATTCTCTCCCGTAACCTGTGGGTTACCTGTGGCGATAGCCTTATTACGTGGGACAATCTAAGTAATAGTTGTATCCACTTTTCAACGTGCGGAATATCTCAATGGCTACAACAGCATTTCTTGGATAGTTCGAGCACAAGTGGCCCTGTGGATATCTGCAAAGCAATAATGGACCTCAGTCTCACGAAGTCACACCATGAGGGACACGAGTATGGTCTCTCTCTCTTCAGACTGCTAGTTGAAACACGATATGCGCAGTGCTACGATTCGCGAGACAAAATTTACGGGCTCCTAGCAGTGTGCAGGAATAGCGACAGGACCGCGGTCCGCACCAGTTACGCACCGGGCTTCACCGCGGCCGAGCTTTACCGTGACATGACAGTCCATCATCTAGCTGACAATCTCGGGGGGTTGCGACTTACCAGCGTGCTTACATCTGTAGATCATGACTCCCCTGATCTGCCATCCTGGGCACCCGACTGGAGGAGGCCGCGCGAAACGACTGCACTAGGGTATTCGACTTCTGCACAGAGCATCTACAGTCCCAACGGACGGTTTCAACCAAAAAATGGCCAGACGGACTATACCTTAAACAGTCAAAAAAAGAACGAGCTACAAGCACGAGGGATCTTTTTCGACACCCTCGTCAAGACCAGCGATCTCTTTATTGATCCCGATCTCACCTATCTCAATCCAACCACCGACAACAAAACTCTACTAGAGTTTTTCAGGTTTGCCTCCCAACTCCAGCACTATCCAGCCCCCAACACCATCTTCTCTGCATTCTGGCATACCCTCGTAGCCGGCAAAGATGCCTCTGGAAGATTAAAGTGTCCATCTTCGTTCGCCGAGATCGTCAGCCTCCTCCTCGATGTATCCACTGGCCTGTCACCGTCGCTCCCGGGTCAGACGTATTCGGCGCGACAGCGGCGGCCCAAGGGGAAAGGCAGGCTAGAGCTAGTAAACCTCGCGTCCCGCGCGGCAGGGAAGACGTTCCAGGAGGTGCACACTGCCATGAAGCTTGCGGTAAAGAACCGCAAGCTAGGTATTACTGAGAAGGGATACTTAGGGTTATTCCCTAGGCATGCGGAGGTGGGGGACGGATTGTATGTGTTAAATGGCTGCCATGTACCATTTCTGTTGAGAGAGGTGGATGGGGTGGGGAGGTTTAGACTTGTGGGTGAGTGCTATGTTTATGGGATCATGGACGGGGAGGCCGTTGGGGGAGATGATGTGAGTATGGGGGAGATCATTCTGGTTTAGTTTTGAGGTCACTGAACTATGATAACCACTTTTACCCCGAGAGGATTTCGACCAATGGAAAGTTTGGATTGTTCTTGGCGGACTCTGTCTCTGACTTCTATTAGGGAGGGTTTTCAAGAGTTGAGTTTTTCGATCTCTCTGAGGATAGGCTCCTTATGTGCCTCGTTCCATTCTCTCTTTGGCGAATTATCTCCTCCTTTCCCTATTTTTCCTTGTTCTGTTTTCCCTCTCTTCTAACTTTGACCCACTTCTAAATTTCAGATGCTAGGTCCTCGACGGTTTTCCCCTTCAAGTTAAAGACGTCCTCGAACACTAGGGACAACTCTGCCTACGAAACAGTATCCGACTTGTAAACAAAGCAAGTGCGTGGAGCCATAATGAACTCTTGGTAAACTCATGCACGAGTCCACCATGGGCTGGGCGGAAAGGCGCAAAGCGAATCGAAACACAGTGACAAATCTATCTATTGTGGAGCTTGCTGTTTCGTCCTATTGTAGCAGGTGAGCAACGAGGTTGTGATGAAAGGGTGGTGAAGGAGTCGGTCGTATCTTTATTTACATAGCACATGTCGGTGTAACGAAACATGAGCAAAAATTATACACGATAACATTAGTAGATTATCCCAGAAGATAAGGCTTTCTCTACCTTACCCCGCGTTTGATGGATGCTGTGGTTGCCTAAAAGCCACAAACAATAATGTAGGGAAATCCTCGCCTCAACAAAACCTAACGTAACATCGTTCGCTTTCAAAGCTCATAAAAGTCAGAAGTGTTCCTCAACTCGTCGTCGACATATGCACACCATTTTTGAACCCTCAAATCACGACAACCCATTTCTGGAATGGCGGAAACCACCCCCACTCCAGAGCTCAAGACGTACAATGGCAATTGCCACTGTGGGGCCGTCAAATTCAGCATCAAGATCCCCGAACTCACTTCAGTCACAGAATGTAACTGCAGTATCTGCTTTAAGAAGGGCTACAAGTGGGTTTTTCCTTCTGCTGATGGAGAGTGCTTTACCATCGAGAAGGGTGAGGGAGGTCCGAGAAACTATGAGTTTGGCAATCGCTCGATGGTGCATAAGGTACTCCGCCTTCCTTATCATAATTGAGAATGGAGAAATTGTAAAATGTTAATGAGACGACTACCTAGTTCTGTCCCACTTGCGGCACGGGCATCATGGGCCAGAGACATGGCATTGCTCCAGGCACTGGTATCGCGGTCAACGTAAATCTCCTCGACGCATTTCAACTCTGTAGACTAAACTGAATGTGAACACAGGCAAGAGCGCTCCAAGACGTCGATCTCTGGTCTCTAAAAATAAACAAGTATGACGGAGCAGCCCACAAACCCTTCTACGCGCCACCTATCTTAACGGGCCCGGAACCCCCAGCCGAGATAGAAAACAGCAAATTGTACACTGGGTCCTGCCACTGCGGCGCCGTGACAATGGCTTTGAAGAATAGGGGCCCGCTTATCCAGGAAGCAGCCCCGGTTGCCGAGGAAATTGGACCTGAAGTGATTGGAGAATGCGACTGCAGTATTTGTGCACGCGTAAGTCAACCCAGATTACAGTCCCACATATTGATCAACTTGCTAATTAGAGCACTTGAGAACAGCTGGGCAGAATCCTCACCTATCGTTCACCAGCCCAAATCTCTATACGCCTCTCTCCCGGCACAAATCTCAGCAGCTACTCTTTCGGCACAAAGCAATTCGAGCATAAATTCTGCCCTGTGTGTGGAGTGGCCGTGGGTGTTGATGATGTAGTTGAGAATACGAAGGCGGTGAATCTGAGGTGTTTTGAGGGGGTGGGTTGGGTTGGTATTGAGACTTATAAACACAGAGGCAGTAGAGAGGAGCCTGAGTATGTGGTTCCTGAACACCACATAGACGGGAAGGACTCCAGAACTGCAAACGAGGAGCAAGAGAAGGAAATCCGGGAGATTGAGGAGTAAATGAAGAAGCAGAACGCAATTTATAAACAGTTAGAGGAGGAAATACTTTAATTAGGTTGAAAAAATCCCGAGGGGTATAATCATGCAAGTCACAAGCATCCAGCTCTTATTGATCGTCTTGAATCTCGTCTCTCCTTGCCAGCCTCGTGAAAGCCATCTCCCTGGGAGCTTTACAAACTCCAGGACGGAAGGTCGGCAACACATCTTACCATTCCCGAGTATCAGCATGGGATGAACTCATTGTTTGTCAAATCGTTGTTGTTCCACGAGCAGATGACTGGAGCTGATTGGCGCCAAGCCCAAGCTGAACGCCTCCTAAGCACCATTGTGCCTCACACCAGGCGCATTTCCGCCCGACCATGCAGCCTCCTCCAGAACGAGAACATTGGAATTCCTTTTCCTTTTCTTTTTCGAGGCTGTGTCGCTGCTCGCGTGTTTCCCGGGTTTGAGCTCAAAAGAACAGAGTGTCCCACGCTGGTTGCGTAGCTTCTAACTCCCTAGTAGAATTCAACTTCGTTCCTGGAAAAACAGTCTTGATCTCACTACCTCGTTCCATTATAACTTCGGATCTAGCCTCGCAAAAGACAAGAGCCAGCTGTAACACCGCGAGGCTGTACACGCCGATCGAAAACACAGCCTTCAGGCAGCAATCATATCATACCTCACACAATGGGAACCAAGTACGTTATCTTCTGTAGCTTATTCAAATACCTCGAAGCAAAAGACTAACACACACTTCCCAGAGAAATCTGCATGGCCGATGGCTGTTACGAGTATTTCGAGCGAGCTGATGGTGACACCCGCACAACAAAATGCCCAGCCTGCCGGGCAAAGGAACGATCAGGGAACCGATCCGCACTCACTCGTCAACAAGGACAAAGCGAGGTGACCAGATTTGCGAGCCAGGAGGAGAGGCAACTTGCGCAGGCTGTGCTGACTAGGGCGCCTCCGCGTGGCCACTATCTCCAATCCGAAACCATCAACATTGATTTTGGAAAGGGGACGATGAATATTGACAGGAAGTTTGAGCCTGAACCTACTGTGAGGAGTACGGGGCTGGGCCTTTTAAGTGGTTGGCTTGGGGGAAAGGCTACTTGAGAAGCTGAGATTGAGAAGACACGTGGGTCCGAGGAAAGGAAGATAATGGGTTACGGTCATGTCGGCTGGCTTACAAACTTCAGATGACAAGACTCAGTTACCGTATTGCCTTTGCAATCTTATTCTACCTAGCTGGAATAAGTTTGTCATGTTAAGTCAAATTGCTAAATTCTATACCATTTGCATTTTCTACCTGTGACGGCTGGCGTAAGGGCATGATCTGCCAAGGACAGGATATCGGAAACAGGCACAAAACGAAGCTAAGCCAGGATTGCTTGGACGGAATAATACTAAAGGTCGAGGCATCCTCCCTACTTTATTCTATAGCTTAGTATTTTCTAATATATGAGATTCTTTAAACTTTGCACCTTCGACTATTATATTAATCCCGCCGTTATATAATACTAAGCTCATTTGACTCGGCCTATAGAGGTAATATAATACTACTGGTAAAGGATCCGTATTTATTCTTGGAAAGCGAAGATAGAATACCGCTTTTAATATTTGATAACCTCCTTAAACTATAAAGAACCGGAGAGCTTAACTAGAAGTATAAATATTCTCTATAATCTAGTTAATCTCGGAGCCTGATTCTTAACTAGAACAGATAATATTTCCCTTCTAGTAGTCGGTCCTCTGCTAATATAAAAGAAGAAAGATATTATCCTCTATAATCCGGTTAATCTCGGAGCCTGATTCTTAACTAGAACAGATAATATTCTCTTAATACTAATAAGAGTAAAAGAACCGGCCCCCTTCTCTAGTATAGGAAAAATTAGTAATAGTTTACTAATTTAAAATAAGAAAAGATAATAGTCGGTTTTAGTCTACTAACTTAAAACTAGATAAGATAATAATTAGTTATAGTTTGCTAATATTAAATAAGAAGAACTTACTTAGTATTTACCTCTATAGCTAATATCCCTTTTAAAGCTACTATAGACGGCCCGGAGCCAAGTACTATTACTATAGGTATATTAGATAAGAGGCCCTAGTATAATAAAACGAAAAAGCCGGACTTTAATATTATAAACCTATATTACCGGGAAAGCTATTATAATACTATTTCGGAAGAAGATATTAAGAAGTAGCTAGCTAATTTAGAACTTAAAATTAGTATAAATACTTTGAAAATAAATAAGGCCTAATAAAGATTACTTATATAGAATAATCTTATTAATAAATACTATCTTATAGCTAATAAATAAGTAAAATACTACTAGAAATTCTATTTATATATTAACTAACTTACTAAGAAAGTTAATAAGCTAGAGGCAATTACTGGTTAACTTTATATAAGAGAAAGACTAGTATAAGAAGAAGTAATAAAGTAGAGATTTAAATAAGTAAATATTTAGGAATACTATAGATTTCTATTAGAAGAACTATTTAGGGGCTAATACTAAGGCTTTCTTCTGCTTTCTATTTATAGTAATTAACTATAGCTTATTAGAATTAAGGATTCTATTCTATTTATAGGTAAGAATAATTACTAGATTAATAACTAGATATTTAATATAAGAAATAAACTAATATAAAACTTCTCTAAATTCAATAATAAACTACTAAAGATTACTTATATAATATAACTAGTTACCGGAAATACCTATAACTTTATTTATAATTAACTAGAATCTGGATTAGTTAGATAGATCTTAACTATTAAATAGATCTTTAAGATTCTCTAGTAAGCTTATAGTAAAAGTAAAGAGATAAAGTACTAGGAAATAAAAGAGGTATACCGGTATCTAAAATAAGGAAATAAGCTATTTCTAGTATTCTAGATAAAATTTATTTATTTAATAATAAAATTAAGGAAGTTACCGGATAACTAATATAATAACTTAATAGATAAAATAAATCTCGAGCTACTTAAGAGCTTAAATAATAAGAAGTTTAATACTTCTAGGAACCTTACTAAATAGTATATAGAATAAGAAAATAGGCTTCTCTTAATTAAAAATTAGTAATTCTAGAAGAAATAACTAGTAGAAACCACTTACTATTAAATATTATCTCGGGCTAGAAAGCCTGCCGGAATTTAAGAAGCTATAGTAATCCTATATCTAATAAATTAATCTTAGTAGCCGGTATTCTTATAGCTAAAAGAAGTAATTCGCCGAGAATTTAAAAAGAAACTAGACCGGCTAGAGGGCCTTTATTATTATAGCTATAGAAAGCCTAAATATATAAAAAGTACCTGTTCTGACTTTAATAAAATTATATCTATTAAAGAGAATTATTTAAAAAGAGCTAATAATTCAGAAATAAATAATAAGAATACCGACTTCTATTTACTATCTAATAAGGAATATAATATTAATAAGTTAGGAAAAGTCTAGCTCTAGATATAGAAATAGATCTTCTAGAATAAGAACTTTACTAAGAACCTATAGATCTTGCTTAGCTAATTAGTAGAAACTAGTTTCTTATTAATTATTAAGTATACTAGAAAGGCAAAACTATAACTTTCTAGTATTTAGTAAATACTAAAGCAAATATATATACTCTAATTAACTAAAAGTATATTCGCTCTTTAATAAAAGTACTATAAATGCCTTTATATAAACTTAAAACCTCCGTTCTCTTATAAGATTTCGATAGACAATTTAATAAAGCTATTTAATATCTAGCTATTATAGATCTAGCTATTAATTAGTATTCCCAAACTCGATAATACCTGCTTACTACTAATCTCGGCTCTTATAATATAATTCTAGAAAAGAAATAGCTAGTAAAGTATAATATTCTACCGGACTATTAATAAAATTAACTCTATTAGCCAGAAAACTATAAGATAAATTAGCTAAACCTTATTTAGAAAATCCGATATTTTAATAAGAAATATTAAAAAAAAAATTATTTTAAAGATATTCTAACTAGAATCCTAAAAGAAACTAGTAAAACCAGACCCGAGAAATAAAAGAATATACTTCTTATTTCTTTATAAGACCTTTTTATAAGAAAAGCCAAATACTAGATAAGAAAGAAAGAGCTAGATCTTAATATTCTCGAAATAGTTAAGCTACTAGACTATTTCTGCTATTTTATTAGAATAGCTATTTTCTAATTAAGTACTAAAAATTCCGGTAACTTAATTAGATTAGTTACTATTAATAAGATTAACTATATACTTAAGAAATAGGGTTATAAACTAAAGAGATATCTACTATTATCTATAGTAATTAGATAACTAATACTATAGTCTGCCAGATACTATACTTAAACTAGTAACCTAATATATTTCCTAGATATAAACGAATCTAATACCTTTAGTAATATACTATTTTTTAATCCTAAAGAACTTTAAAAGCTTTGGATATCTCTTCCTATATAACTATATAATATAGCTAGAATATTTTTTAAGAAAGCGGCAAATAAGCTTTTCTAGTCTTAATTCTTTAATTATAAGCTCTGCTTTAATAAATTAGATTCCTTAATAAGAATAGCCTACCTCTATAAAATAAGCTCTAGTAAACTTGAAAAAATAAGAAAGTATCTTATTAAAAACCTGAAAAAGGATTTTATTAAGCCGTTTGAATTCCCCTTTTTATTACTAGTCTTATTTATTAAAAAGAAAAACAGTAGCCTATAATTTTATATTAACTATTAATAGCTAAATACTATAATAAAAAAGAATTACTATCTCCTACTACTTATTACCGAGACTTTTAACTAATTAGCCGAATTATTAGTATTTACTAAATTAGATATTTAATATACTTTTAATTGAATTTATATAGAACTAGCTTCTATAATATAGGCAGTTTTTAGAATAAGATATAGATTCTTTAAACTAGTAATTCTATTATTCGAATTCTATAATAATCTAGTAATCTTCTAGTAATATATTAATACTATTCTAATAGACTATTTAGATAACTTTTATTCGGCCTATATTAATAATATACTAATCTTCTCTAAAAATAAGAAGAAGTATTAATAGTATATTAGAATAGTTCTATAGAAGCTCTAGAATACCGGATTATAAGTTAATATCTATAAATACAAATTTAAAGTCTCTAAAATAATATTCTTAGAATTTATTATCTCAGATTAGAATATATAAATAGATTCTACTAAAACCTTTATTATCCGAAACTAGTATTAACCTATAATAAAAAGAAAGACATAATTATTTTTAAGCTTCTATAACTTCTATTATAGGTTTATCTAAGCCTATAGATATATTTCTTGCCTTTTAAATCGTCTAACTAAAAGAAATACTTTACTAAAGTTTATACTTAATAAAATCTAGCTAGATGCTTTTAATTAGCTTAAGAATCTGCTTTTCTTTACTCCTATACTTCTCTATTTCAAATATAATAGAGAAATCCGTCTAGAAACCGACTATTTAGATCTAGCTACTATAGATATACTTTCTTAAAAAAGTCTAGAGAACAAATAATAATATCTAGTCTTATTCTACTTTAAAGTTCTTTAAAGAGCTGAGAGCCACTATAAAATTTATAATAAGGAACTTCTTATTATTATTTAAGGACTCCGGAAATAGTAGGTAGAACTAATTAGTTTACCTAATTTTCTAATTATTACTAACTATAAAGCTCTCGAGTATTTCGGTACTAAGAGGCCCTTAAATAAATAATAAATCTAATAGATAGGTTTTCTATTATAATTCTATTACTAGATTACTTATTAGCTAGGTAAAAATAATACTATTACTAATATTTTATTTCGAAAAAATAAGCTTATACTAACTTAAAAGCAGGCTAAGGAGGCTAAAAGAACTAGACAAATTATTTTATTAGATCTAATTCTCGCTTCTACCGAAATAAAAGATATAGCTTATATTTTTACTAAAATAGAAGAAATAGACGAGCTATTAGTTATAGTTAAAGTCCTATAAGCTAATTAGATAGATCCAGCCCTAGAGAATAAATATAAGAAAGCCCGGAAAAATATAGATCTATAGGAAATATTAAATAGCTATATACTTTATAATAAAAGACTTACTATATCGGACAAATATAATAATCTATAAACTAGGCTTCTATAACAAATCTATAATATAATAACTACTATATATTCTGGTTAAAATAAAACAA